AAGTTCATTTGTAAAGGTCACAAAGCATGTGAATGGGTTGAATGAATTTAATACAGACAAAACACGGTGTTAGAAGGAGAGCTTGTAATGCGACGGTGTGGCGCAAGTTGTATAGGATGTTACAAATTTTGTTTCTTTTTTACTTAATTAGTTTGTTTGAAATTTTTTTTAACTATTGATTTTTTTTTAAATTGTCTGTGTGTCACCACACATAATGTCGCCAGTGTGGTATTCAAACCCACCCCCGGCTCCGAAGCCATAATCCTGGCAACTGCATCATGATATTGGCCTTTTTTTCAAGAAGTAAGTAAGGAAACTATAGACAGGATAAAAATATAAATTTTAATTAAGAATTGACCCATTAACCTGACATTATCGACGCCTTGAACCTGTTAAGATTATTTTAGAACTAATCGTTATTTTTGTGTCGTCTTCATTTGTTCGCATAAATTTTCTTATACAAAACGTTTTGCAATCGAAGCTAAATACGAAAACGAGGGCTTCGCTTAGAGGATCGTTTGCTAAGTTCGCGTTTTTTAATCGCCCTCTTGTGCGAAATCGAATTGTGTCGTATCAAATGCTAATGTACGACTCCCATCGGGCAGATTCCGGGGGCGAGTCGAATTGGACGGTGAAATCATTGGATATTTATTAGTCTGGGGATTCGAGTACACTCGGGCTTCGATTGTTTGCAACTCTCGCTGCAAACAGTTTAAGAAACAAATTAATCCAATCTCGATTACATTGCAATTTGATGAGCTTTGCGTGAGGCTTGGAATGTTTCAAAAGGTAGAATATATAAGTGGCATATTGGCATTGCATAGCTTTTAAAATGAAACTGGGTCGTATAAATGAAACTATTACGGATTTATCGTGTTTACTTACATTATGATTACCGATGTTTCGAACCCTTTACAGCGTTCATGGGCACGGGACAGACTGAAGCGTGGGATGTCTGAATGTCATAGGTAGCCCAGAGCACCGCCAGTTTTGTAAATGATTAATTTTGTGCCCGATATTTGCAGAAGGTGCTAGTTGTATCATTTCTTGCAGTATTGGTGTGATCCGGCCTATGCCATGGCCGATATATATGTTAACAACTAAATTGTTAGCTTATCGAAAATTTAGTTAGGATTCCTTTCCGTTTTAATTATTTTATTTCACCGCTCCTATCATAAGGAAACCTGGATTTACGAAATAATAAGAAATAACATATTTCAAAGATATGTGAAGTTTGCCAATCCGCAATAAGATCGCAATGGATCTTTGTACGGAGAAGGTCTTAGCCCGTTACTTCTTTTTTTGTTTTTGCTGTTACTTTACTTTGACTTTTACTTTACGGAATAAAATATTTCGGATATGAAGAAAGCGGATACAAATCATTTTTGATCTTTGGAAAATACTTGTCAGCAGTGGGACATGCGAGTATAGAAATCCGCTATATCTCTTATAAAAATAACAAGCACCCATATGTTACGTCCATCGATAGTGACAATATAACAAGCTATCCAAATTTGGCGACCTAAATCTGAAAGTCCTAGTACATTAAACGTAGTTAAACAACTATCAACAAATGTACGTAATCAGGAAAGCGTCACTAACATTAATTTATTTTCCAAAGATCCTTAAATTCCACTACATCTAGTACGCGAACAAGCATCGGTCAAACTTTGTTTATGTCACTTTCCGACGCGGAGTTCTTGCCAAGTTCTGATAAAACTTTCAAGACAGTTAATAGGAGCTAGCGCAAAACACAACCAGCAACGTAAGACCTACGATACCACAACCAAATAAGTATGCCGGTACGAATTTAGTTACAATAAATAGGGTTTAACGGATTCTGGTCACTCAAACTAACTGTTAACGTCAGTGTCTAGCGGTTAATTTGCATTCAGACTGACAAATTTAATAACAAGTAATGATAAATGCGAACTTTATAGAATAGTGCTTCTAACACGAAGTTTCCTTTTTTACTTTTTCTTCCAATAAGGTAATATTTTTACTTCAAAATTTTAATGATTCCTTTTTAAAATGCTTAAGTATTAACAAAATGTCTATGAATAAGTTTACCATAGTATGACTCCCTACATTTTCCGTGCCTTATTTGTAAAAATTACTAGGTTTACTTTCGCAGTGTCATTTCGACATATTTTTTCATTTTAATAATTGAATATTATAAACACTAAAAGTTGAAAAATATAAATAAATGTGATAATTTTTACATTCAAGACGGCGACATTTCACATTTTGGCCCTATTTTATTTTATTTTCTTAGATATTATAATATTGCGTGAAATAATCTGCACATACAGTTCAAGTATAATTAGGTTACTTTTGAATTGTAATCAACTGCTATCGTGTAGCAGTATTTTTAACTTAACGGCTCTAAAAAAAATTATGAACTTTTAACCTATTGGGCATTGCCATTTCTCTTAAGATTCTCTAAATAAATTTAACAAAAATTCAATAAGCAATCAAAGTAATAACGAAATTAATCTAAAATTTTTTTTTTTTATGAGAAAAAAGCGGCAAACGAGTAGGAGGCTCACCTGATGGTAAGTGATCACCGCCACCCATTGACACCTGCAACATCAGAGGGCTATAATAAACATAAAACAAAAGCACGTGCTTTGGTTGTAATGTGTTATTCATTATCTACATGCTATATAAATGTATATGTTTATAAGGATATTTGGAATGTCGAATTTTTGATTAAATCCTGTACATAAAATTACATTACATTAAAATATACAACCGCAGCTGCGTAACGTACATGACGCTGTAAACCCATTTAGCTAAACAGAATATTAAGTGGTCTAAATTTGTTTATTCTAGAGTACCATCATTAATTTTACACTTATTTTCCTTGTTCTACGAACGGCATCTCATAATACTTGGGCCAATTAGGCAATCGTGAAGGAAGTTACAAGATAAAGTCACGAAAGTGCCTTATTGCCTGCTTACAGCATAAATGACTCTCAAATTCCTAGTCTTAGTTATAAGGTAAACAGGTGAAGCACAAATAACAACAGAAGGAATTACTATTGCTCTATAGATGAATTGCTATTAAAAGTTAATAACAATTTACAGGAGTAACGATTTCCCCGAGCTTAGTAAGGGTGAAATTATCATCATACGTCAAATATGTTGAGTCGTATATTTGTTTGTTCTAACAGTCATTTCTAAAGGACCCTTCTTGATTTCGGTCGAATAAAAGAAAAGTACGATTTGTCTGCTCCCGTTTCCTACTCTAAAATAATTTATAGTCGTCCATATATCTTTAACACTTTTGACAACAAGTACTTGCCGGAAGAGTTTAAGAGAAGCAACCACCAACCTGGATATCCACCTCCGGAGACAAGGGCACGGGAGGCTGCCCAATGAATGTAATATTCCCGCTGTAAGTAAACCTTCTGGTATCAGGCAAGGGATTGCTTATCGCTTAATATAGTGATGGGTGCTGTGCTAATTGCGCATATCATGAAAGGAAGCCTGAGAGTCGCGGAAGATTGCGTTATCGCATTCCTGAGCCGCACCCGGTGCGACAGATACAACATGGATTTATAATGGGTAACCATCCCGTTCTAATCGGGGCTCTCACATACCCCTCTCCTTCCCTGTGTCTGGTGGTAGGAGATCTACAAAGAAAATTTTCTCACTTAAGAAAAAGGACAAAAAACAAAATATAAAGCACGATGGAACATCAGTACGTCCTTTTGAAATTCATTGCTAACGATTTCATCTAGACCACTGATCAGTGGCCATGGGAGCCAGAAGAGTCATTGCTATTAAAAATTAAAATTCCCCACCCCTATCGCGGGACATGGCCTGTGGCTCAACCACCCACCGCATTTCAGCCATGGAGGCTGGGGGGCACAGTGTGTCGAAATACCGTCACTTCTCTCCCCCCGTGACTCCATCAGTACTTCATCAACGATTCAGCTCCGCCTAATCGCGGAGAACAGAGATAACGACCAAAAGTAATACCAACACTTCAATCAACATTCAACAACCCGCGACAAGACGCGACGTAGGGGACAGGAAAAGTCTTCATCTACCACACTCGACCTATTATCCGCAACCCACGCAGGCTAAAAGAGCCTACATGGAGCGGCCCTCTCAAGCCGACCCTATAATACCTATACCGTGCTACCGTCTACCTCTTGGCTATACCGTGGGAAACAAGGCTGAAACTCGGTGAGAATTGCCCTGGATTGCGAATGTACCTTTTGTACGTATTGTGTTGATTTGCTTTTTATGTGTGGGTATAGTGTTGTCTAGCAAGACTGTCGGTTGATTTGTATCTTAAACATTATGTTCGACACTTTTTAGTGGCTATCAAAGGAATTGAGGAAAGACTAGGACGCTGAGCAACCACTGGGTTTTTACGTTTTAAAAGACCTTTATGTCTAGATTATAAACTATATTTCCCACAACCGTTCTTTCCTCATATGGATAAACCCGTCATTCACAGTTCAATGTAATGCATAAAAATTTCAATTTATATTTTTAAAGTTGTAACAAATAATTTAACAAATAATCGCAAGAATTATTCGGTCTAGTTAGATTTTTCTCATTTGTCATGTGCTCGCTAAGCTGCATCATTCTGGTGCCCTTAGCCGTCTTTATTGCTACTGTTTCAGGACCTGAAGTCCCGGTTCTATTCCCACGGGACTGTAACTATGAATGTTAATTATTATTTCAATCTCAGGTTCAAACAACTATCTCATATTCATCTTGGATCCACTATCAAGGAACCATCCGAACTAAGGGGTGAGAACGTGAGATCCTTTTTTCTGGTTTAAGAATTAGTCGGTTATCAGGTACGTCGACGATCTGAAGAACGTGTATCCGTCCATAAACTTATGCCTGACGTCATTATTTCCGTGAACAGGATTATTGTGTTAAAACTGCTCTCGTTCTTGCTGTATAATTTCGCATTAACAATGGATATTTGAACGTCAAAGCACGTCTGCATAACTTCGCGCAAAAATACCAAAATGTCCTTCAAGTATTTTGCAGGACCCTCCATCTCAATACTACTACTTACTTGCGGTATGTATATTATTTTATCAATACGCTTTAGTTGTTATATTCGAGCTATTATATGAGCTATCTCATAAGTGTCTAAAGTCAATTTTTAACACAAGTACAGATAATCAATAGAAATTTAAAGCAGGGCTCAACTAAGTACTGTATAATAAACTGTGTTTATTATTAAGTTACACAGGACTAAAAAATGTACTGCTACATATTTATAACATCAACCAAACTAGATTATTTTACTAACGGGTACGATAAATAATTTAAAAATTAATTAAAGTTTAAACTTAGAAGTCCTGCCAAGTAGTCAATAAGTACGAACAGTGCTAATTTATTCCTTTATCTCAATTTTATACGCATAATACCATCATGTTTAAAGAAAACTATAGGGTACTACGTTACTATTTCACATATTGGTTCATCATAATCTTTTTTTAAATACAAACAAGCTGTCTCTCTCGTGGCATTTCTCTGACCAAGTAGACAATTAATCTGTCTTTGTGTTATTAATAATCATTTTAACTGAAGCTTAGTAGGTGAGCGATAAAATAGTTGACTAAATTAATTTAAAAAAGCATTACTTTATTATTAAACACATAAAAATCATTAGACTGCAAGTGCCTTCGTCTTAGACGCATAAATAAGTTCCTTATCTTTATTTATACATACAGTTTTGTAAAGCAAATAAGAATAAATAACACTCCACACTCGAACATTTCTCTTTTTAATGCTTTTAAAAAGAGCTTTGATGGCTTATCAAACAATCCGTTGTGAATTCCCAACGTCAGGATTAATTAAATTGTCAGTTGCAATTGTAAGTAGTTAATGTATTCGGTGCTTACGGACAACGCGTTTCCGTAATCTAGAGTAGTTACTTGCTTATCAGTGGGTTTTAAATATTAATATATCGCTGCATTATGAGTACTTACAGTATTAGTACACTTCTTTAATCTAAATATCAGAGCTTTTAACATGTGGATAAAACATGAACCTAGTAAAAGGCAAGGTTAAATTCTTTCAATGTATATTTATCTCTTTAAACAGTGTGTCAAAGTTAAACATTTAGAAAACCCAAGTGACAGGCATAGATTTAACAGACGTAGATTTAAAACAGACTATGCGAAATAATATAACATGTCATCCGTGACTTGGGTTTATATGCCATAACTGTTGATTGGTAATCTCAGATTATACATACTCTTTTGATGTCAACTCTGACCTGTTTGATTTATGTATTATGTTTGAATTACTTTAAATTTGGAATGTTAGTTTTATTTGTTCAGACTGAATTGTGTCATAATTGATATATTCCGTAAAAATCACTTGGAGAAGTAACATGTCTAGCTATCTAACATAACTCTTGTATTTTACATAAATTTCATAATCATTACGTTTGGTCTAAAATAAGTTCAAAATGTTTAAGTTCAAATAAATAGTTTTCTTATCAGTCCTTAAGTGTCTTTTCGGTTTGAAAGCGATCCCATTAGCCACATCTACCATTCAAGAATAACCACAGATAAGCTGACACACACATTAAATATAACTATACAGGGAGGCTGTTCTAAGTGTATCCATTTTTTTTATTAAATTCTAGACATAAATAAAGTTATATGAAACATTATAAATATTTAAAATCACTCTTAATTAATTACATTCATTTGAACTTATCTCAGAAAGTGTGTGATTTATGGGTAACTCATTTATTTTACGCGCGATCATTCATAACTAACACGCACACAAGTTCGTTTCAAAAGTATACGACGCATTTATGAATGACAACCGCATTGTCAACAAGTTCTGTTTTTTAAGGAATAGAATGCCAAATTTTTTGAAAAAAAATAAATTATTTTTATTTCAATAAGCAATTATACTACAGAGTCTGAACCTTCTGTGTGAATTTGGGCACCTTTATAAAAGCATATAAATAGTTTTATTTAATGTATATTTATGTTATTTATATATATTTCTTTTGTTTACTATAATTAATTCATTTTTCAGCTTCAATTTTGACTTTAAATGGAGCGCTATCAAAGCGGCTTGTGCGCCTCAAGCCAAAAAGTGACAAAACAGTACCAGTAAGTTATATCCCTCCTTTAATTATTCTTTTCCCTTATTAGATCTATAAACTGAAACCTTTTTAACACGCTTAAATTAGTTTCACCTGTATATATGTATAAATGTAACAGAATCTTTAAAGGTGATTTCGCCCCACTTTGAAAGATCATATTTTACAACTTTGCATACTCTTCATAGACCCATGACAATACAATAATTTAAATTATAGAAAATCGTGGGGTGCTTTTTAAGATATTTTCATTATGACTCTACTGAATAAAACAACAATAAGCAAACCTTTTAAACAATAGTAATATTCGTTTTACAGCCAACGTTAATAGATAAAAAGGCCGAAAATTTGTTTTCGGTTCTTAATAAGCGTCCCGAGAATGATATCTTCGACCCCAGATCGTGCAAGGAAGATGAGAGTTTGAACATGCCAAACTTTACTGAGCCCGGTCGAAGAATAAGCGAAATAAGTAAGTAACGAACGACGTAGAATAAGACTATTATACCTGTATGTTATATTATAAACTTATATTTTTGAAAAAGAGCAACTGTTGAGTTTCTTGCCGGTCTCTTCTCAACAGAAACTGCTTTCCGAACCGGTGGTACCTTACGAACCTATATATATATATATATATAGGTATATTAACTACAGATGCATGTATATCCTTTTATATGCGACTAAAGAAAACCAATACCAGTAAGTTGTGAAATGAAACTATTTTACGGACTTTATCGCTTTTAATTATTAGTTAAGTTTATACATTCCCGACATTTTAAACCTTTCCCAGCGTTCATGGTCAATCATGGTAACTGTGACATTAAGACGTCAAACTGCTCAGTCTGTCTCGTGACCAAAAACGCTGGAAAGGATTCGAAACATCGGAAATTGAAAAATCCAACTAAACGCGATAAAAATATTCGAGTTAAAACAAGAAATAAATTATACCAGTGAGGTTCAGAGTTTTAAGAGGCTCCCAGTAACCTGAGAGTAATCTAAAAGTAGGACTACTTCCATCTACGAAGTACGAAGGAGTCGAGCTCGATGGTGAGGGAATCGGAGAAGGCTTATCCTTCTACGAGGCGTGCAGTACCGAGGGACAGCGGTGGCCACCGAGGGAGTTTTAGTGGGTACGAACCCCACATAACCCGGTCATGTAAGGTATCTTTTGAAGATTTCCCAACCGACACCAGAAATATAACTTTTCCCATCTATGAAGCCATGATATTTTTTGAACCAGTCAGCTCATTCCTAGACTCAGAATAAGTTATAATATTCTTATTAAAATTGAAATAAAGCGTTTTTTTTTCCAGAGTGTCTCGAGAATTTGTGGCGCATGCGATTTTATGATGAAATGCTCTTCCGATCAGTGAAGTGTAAGTTTCAGCATAAATAAAGGATTATTTAAATGACAAATATACTTCCCTAGAACCCATAAGAGGGTGTAAAATATTTAATATAAAAATTTGTAGAAAAATGTACCAAAAGTCCTTTTTTTTTTAAGACCAAGTCGTCCCTAAGACTTGACTTCGATTCCCATAGCGTCGAGACACTTATCGTGTTTTTTTTCTACAAATTTTATTTTTTCATATTAAATGCACAGATAAGAAATATAAAAATTTTAATATTAAATATATCAAAATTGGGCGGTTTTCAGGTGGATTTGACTTCGATAAATTAATAAGTATAATATTTGGAGGTCGCGATGCTGAGCCTCGAGAATTCCCTCACATGGTATACTAATAACTATTTTTTCGTTTTCTTTACAACATAGAGCAAACGGCAAAGTCATTAATTTTTATATTATACTTGGGCTCCTGGAAATGTACGTATAAACTGACTGGTTTAGAAATTTAGACTTTCTCAAAAGTTCTGTCTATATATATTCTGTTTTTCTTGTCTCACGTCTCGCAGATAAGTGGTTACTGACAACAATAAGCGTCTAAAACACTTATGAAGTCGCGATTGCATTGACAGCTTTATTGGTTGTGAGCCAACGTATGCCTATTGGTTGTGGGCCGTCTAGTACACCATTAATTAATTGTTACATATCCATTATTCGAAAGTAAAGTAACAATATTACTATCTTACATGTATAACTAGTTGAACCGAAAAACGTTGTTTTGCCATATAAATTATTTGTAGGGTAGAAAAAATGGGGTGGACCACCCTTATCGCTTGGGGATGTGAAAAAAACTGCGGCCGATTCTCAGACCTATCAAATATACATATAAAATTTAATAAAAATCGATCAAACCGTTTCGGAGGAGTATGGCAACTAACATTGTAACACGAGATTTTTTTTATATATGGATAAAACGTATCGATCTTTGTTATAATATATATGTTTGTCAAACGAAAATTTTAAAGAACAAAATATATCAATCGAATTCAGATTCTCCTTTTGAAGTCGGTTAAAAATAGGCACATCATAAAAGTTGTTCTATTTTTAAAATATTGAAGTGTTTAATTTTTACGTTTTTTTTTAAATGAGGAATATTTTACAGGGAGCGTTAGGTTGGCGATCCGTAAATAATACGTGGATATTCAAATGCGGTGCCACTCTGGTTTCACAAAACTTCATGATCACAGCTGCCCATTGTTCAAGGGCAACAAGAAGTGATACACAAATCGCTGATCCTGTGCCCAAAATAGTACGAATTGGGGAGACAAATCTTGAATTTAAGGTTGAATTTGAAATTGTTCTGAGATAAATAAATACATAAGTAGTTTTCTTTACCCACTGGTGGTCACTATAAGTTACCCATACGTCACCAATAACCAACTACAAATAAATCAAAAATGCTTTACATTAATCAAAATTTAAAAACACCCCAATTAAATATAAATGACTTGTTTATTTTAACAGGATTTGAATGAAGAGCATCCAAAAGACGCAGTAATAAAGAGGATCATCGTGCACCCTTATTACAGATCGCCAAAAAAATATTACGATATCGCCATATTAGAACTGGATGGCCCCGTGATGTTTACAATGAAAAGTCATCCCGCCTGCATCTGGACAAATCAATATCAGGAAGTATTTGGCAAAGCTGCATTGACTGGTTGGGGCATAACAGAACCAGGTAAGAAATATCACAATTTTAATGTGCTTACAAGCTTGTAAGTGTATTAAATTTGTCATATTTCTTACCTTAATCAGACTTTATAAAATATCTGAGTAATGTTAATAACTTCATAACCGACCAAAGTAAAGTGTAATAAAGTATAGTAACAGCCTGCGTGTGTCCCAGGAATGGGCAAAGATTCGATTCCTGGCACTGACGAAAAATGTTGCGACAATTCTATCCAACCTTTCTTTGAGTGTCGTCGTAAGTGCAGGAAACCTACATATTTTCAAATTAATAAAAAAATATTTAAAAGGTATGTGAAGTCCGCCAATCCGCAGTGGAACCACGTGGTGGACTATGCCCTGATACCTAATGTACAGAGGAGGTCTTTGCCCGGCAGTGGGAGATTCATAAGCTGTTTCTCTTCTTTTACTTTACTTCGATATATAGGTCAATAAAATGAAAAGATTATAAATTTAATAAATAAATATTAAGAAATAAATCAGTAAACAGATTGAAATTAATATAATAATCTGTTTATTTTTGAACAATCAAAGGTAGTCAAGTTGCTTATCCCAAGTTGCAAGTAGCCGAGGTTGACGTCTTAAGTTTGCGAGATTGCGACAAAAGACTACACTCCCGACGAAACCGACATTGGAGGGGACTTGTCTACCATCAGATGTGCGCTGGACATTTGGCTGGAGGTATCGACTCGTGTCAGGTATGCTTTGAAGTGTAATAGAACCCTGCATCGCTGTATGCATTATTGTAACGGGTACACACCACGTCGATACGTAGAAAATATTAGGAGTAACTATACAGGGTGGCTTTTCTAAAGGTCTAGACTCGGTAGTATTATCGTTTATTTAAATAAAAACAAACTTTTTTAAAAAAAATGCCATTCAATTCCCTAAAAAACAGAACTTGTTGACAATACGGTAGTCATTCATAAATACGTCGTATACTTTTGAAACGAACTTGTGTGCGTGTTGTGCCCATAAATCACGCACATTTTGAGATAAGTTAAAATGAATATAATTAATTAATTACGAGTGATTTTAAATATTTATCATTTTTATATAACATTTTTTATGTCTAGAATTTAATTTAAAAAATTGGTACACTTAGAAAAACCTTCCTGTATTTATAATTTTCCTTTTCGTCCTATGAGCGAGATACATGAAAGCCGAGGTTGGCAAGATGATAGCAACATCACAAATGGTGGGTATTGCTCTTTTACCATATTTTAACATTAAATAATAAAGAGACAATAAAAACGTTAAGATAAATTCTATTCATGGGTGAAAGACAGTTTTGACCAGTAAATCTCTTGTTTTGTTTCTTACGAGTTTGTAATCTTGCGTGGTATTTGCTGTCGTTCTCAAGACATTCCGTTAGGCGAATGTATCGGATATTTTCGTTTCACCGCCCTTACCCTTTCATCCCTTTCGCAATCTCATTTATTTGCACCCATTAACTTTTGCTTGTAACGCATATTTATATACTATAACATTATAATAGAATCAATCGCTCAATAAATGGCCACGTAAATTTGTGTTAAGGATATTTTAGTATAGAAGACGTTTTTGCGCTAGCCTAATTAGTATGCTGATAAATCCGCCACAGAGATGAGTCAATAATATCTCACCTTGTTCACCGTTCGACTAGCAGGATGATGTCTGCTGGGTTCTACTAGTAAAGGAATTTGAACAAAATTCTCATTATAATGTGACTTGTTTAGGGTGACTCTGGCGGCCCACTGCAGATGGAGATCGACATACCGGAATATTCGGACTGGAAAATTCACTACATCGTCGGTGTTACCTCTTTCGGATACGGATGTGGTGTTTTAAACACGCCGAGTGTTTACACTAGAGTATCAAGTTTCGTTGATTGGATCGAAAGTGTTGTTTGGGAAGAAGAATATAAGAAAATGAAAAAATTACATTAGTGTAATATATATTTTTGAGTCTTTAAATTTATACTTCCTTTACCTTTGAATTGATAATTTATCCTTTTTTTAATAAATTTGTTAAACGTTTTTACGCAACGGAAATAACATAAACATACCTAAAACCATGTCAAAATATAAACAAATTGTTTTCTGTTCTGTGTTTAAAACTGTTATATTTTTGAGGCGGCCTAAGTAATATTTTTTATTTAAACATACGTATACTGAGAAAGTAACGTAAGATAAATTAGAGACTGTAATAAAATAATTTTTTTGAACGAAAAATGTTTTCCTATGATTCTGTTTTGAGGCATATTTTCCTTACGTCGGTTTGCAGGTGTTTGAAATTTATTATTTCTGTCTGAAACCTACCTTATGCTAATATTGAAGTTAACTTTTTAACTCTCTACTAGTTTAAAGATTATATTATTTTAAAATATACGTATCCACATCGCATAAATTTAAACCGATTGTATCATAATAAATTCAGGTGTATGACATGGTATATTTTACTTAATTTAATTATCTTCTCAAGATATCTATTATGACTTACATATTTCTATTTTCCGGCATCTTTGAACAATGTTCATTTGAATTCCATCTTGTGCTTCGACAGAGTTACGCCAATACCTATGTGCCACTGGTAAATAACTTAAATATAGAGGTTTGTGTCTGACGAACCCACCGAAACTTGGGCACTCAAATTGCGCCAATTGACGAATTAGATTGCAATTCTATAATTATACTGCTATCTCTTTCCGTATCGTATGTTCTATGCCAACTGTCACATTAACTTATAAATATCGTATAATGTAAAGCGGAACAAATTTTTAAACGTCGCGCAGTATGGCCATGCGTCATTTTTATCAAAACATCATTGACCTCATAAAAAAATTATAAAATAGGACGATATTCATAAAAGATTAGAAATTTAAATTGTTTATAGTGCTAATCTTTGCACTTAAGATTGAACATTAAAATATGTAGAAAAAGTGCGAAAAGATTGTCGCCGCTGTGGGAATCGAACCCACGTCTTCGGCATTCGCGGCCTGACGCTCTAGCCACTGAGCTAAACGGCTGATTGCCACACCGACGAAAATCTTAACGCATTCCTCTACATTGTTTTCTTAGCATTTGAAGCAATGCTTGGCGCCATCTATTGTTATATCCTTTCCAGCATACAAACAATTTCGAATATCGTTTTACAACGATAATTCGAACGAGAGATGTCGCTATTGCTTTTTTTTTTTAGAAATTTAAATTGTTTATAGTGCTAATCTTTGCACTTAAGATTGAACATTAAAATATGTAGAAAAAGTGCGAAAAGATTGTCGCCGCTGTGGGAATCGAACCCACGTCTTCGGCATTCGCGGCCTGACGCTCTAGCCACTGAGCTAAACGGCTGATTGCCACACCGACGAAAATCTTAACGCATTCCTCTACATTGTTTTCTTAGCATTTGAAGCAATGCTTGGCGCCATCTATTGTTACCGCGAATACCTGTGTGATTCGCTTAAAGGTAACTACATAGTATATTTATTTCTACATGATGAAATGTAGTCAATGTCTTCTTTTGAAATATAATTTAATCTTGGCAATCAACAACATTTTTTTTATATTTACCAATAATTCCAAGTTATTTAAATAAACCGTTATCAATTGCATTTAATGTTTTTACGTGTGCGGCCGACCTTAAACCACAGGCCAGCAAAGTTTTTTTTAAGTGTGGCTATAGTTTTTCTAGAAAGACTCCCTGAAGAAGGTTGTTTTACCTTGAACATTTTGTTCGACACTTTGTGAGTGGTCGGCAAAGGAATTTGTATTTAGCTTTCTGGAATTCAAGAAATTAGAAAGACACCAGTAGTTTATGTAATTTTTAGTAGTTGTACAACAATCTATCTGAGTGTTTACGTTTTAATAGGCCACTGTGTTTAGATTATAAATTTTCTTCCCACAACCATTCTTTCCTCATACGGAAAAACCCGTCACATTACCATTCAATGTACTGCATTGTTAAAATACCAGTTTACATTTGTGACACCTTTTCAACAAACTGTCGCAAGAATTAGTCATTCTAATTACAATTTTATAATTTTTCATGTGCTCGCTAAGCCGCAGCAATGGTCTGGTGGCCGTAGGTTTCCTATTGCGACTGATTCACGACCTAAAGCCCCGGGTTGGATTCCCACGGACCTCTGACAATGAATATTCATATTTGACTCATAGGTCTTACATTCATCTCAGATCCACTATGAAGGCTAACCATCCGTCACCTTTAAGAAGTTTGTTATATATGGTGAGAGTGGATTACATTAAATATATTTGTCCAACCCTAAGGTTTGAAAACATGAGAGCCCTTTTTCTGGCTTAAGAGTTGTCGTTTATCAGATACGTTGACGACCTGAACGTGTATCCGTCCATAAACTTATGCCTGACGTCATTACTGCAGTGAACAGAATTATTGTGTTAACACCTGTTGCTCTCGTTCTTGCTTTATAACTACTCATTACCAATGGACATTTGAACGTCGAAGCACGTCTGCATAACTTGGCGCAAAGATACCAAAATGTTCTTCAAATATTTTGCAGAGCCCTCCATCTCAATAATACTACTTACTTATGGTATGTATATGTATATGTCATTAATACGCATTATTTTTTAATTTAGTTTATTTATTTATATTTTATTTATTTGTACGTACAGTGTATATATTGTGTTATAAGTTAGTAGTAATATTTCGAGTTATTAAATTATTTTTCTAAAGTATCTAATGTCAATGTTGAGTAGAAGTACTAGTAAGACATGCGAAAAAATTTAAAGCGGGGCTTAACTAAGTACTGCAATATTTAACTCTGTTTTTTGGATAAAGTTAAAAAGTAAAGTATCAGCCTATACGTGTCCCATTGTTGGGCAAAGGCCTCCTCTGTACAAAGGGTATCAGGGCATAGTCCATTACGCGGCCGCACTGCGGATTGGCGGACTTCACATAATATTATATTATATATTTTGTTATTATTTCGAAAATATGCAGGTTTCCTCGCGATGTTTTCCTTCACTGCTGAGCACGTGATAATAATTCAGCTCTTCAAATTAACAATTTCATTGGTGCCGCCACCAGGCATCGAACTCAGGTTGCTCGAGTATATTGAATTAAAAGCGAGCGCCCGGACACTGAGCTATAACGGATCTATTTATTTGATACGTAATTATCATTTAATTTTATTTATAATATTAATAAAACATCGTAGAGCTATCACATAGTAAGTAGGTACGCTAGAGACATTAAAAATTTTAAGTCAAAGTACGAACAGTAATTCATATGACCGAATATTTATTTGTATACTATCAGGTTTAAGTAAAACCGTTTTGTATCTTCTCGTGACTGTTACAATTCATACATACACATTTTACTTCAGCGCAATCTTTTGTTACATACAAACAAGCATCTCATAGTAATCCTCACACCATATAAACAGTTCCTCTGTATTTGTGTGATTAGTAATCATTATAATGGGAGTTTAGTAAAACTATTTCCTCGTTCAGCTAATAGACATATATTATCGTTAATATGTCAACTAGAAGTAATTTTTAGTACAAGCATGTATTTGTATGGGGAATGTATTTGTTTAAAAATCAGTTCTTTGAAGTTATGGTATGTAAAATTTAGGATATCTCAGAATGATAAGCCAGATATATTATGTACTTCATTTAAACAGAACAATTATCAAGTCTTTGCCCATGTCTTTTTGTATGAAATTTTGTATGTAAAAAAGAAATTTTGTATGTATTCTGTATGAAATATGTTAAAGTATTTATTTCAATCTTTTTTATTTCTGTTATTCAAAGCAATCATCCGTGCAATCAATTCATCTTTACCAACGCAGTGGTAGTTGGTTTTCTTGTAAAAATCAGCTTGACGGGAGGCAACAAACTCTTCAAAGGCATTTTGTATTCATCATCATAATCAATCGCTGCCAGTGCCTTTGTCTTAAACGCAAATAAGATCCTAATCTATATACGAAACTTGCTATAGTTATTGTAAGTAAATCAGAATAAGTGAATAACCGCACTTGACCGTTTGCCTTTTTATATTTATACTCGTAAAAAGAGCTTTGATCGCTTATAAAACAATCCGTTATTAATCGAATTCCCAACGCCTGGATCAATTGAATTGACAGTTACAATTTTAAGTACTTAAAAAATTAGGAGCTAACGGATAACACAGTAAGAAAACTGTGATCCAATCTGCACTAGAGCTGTGTGCGAAACTAAGATCTATAAAACTGTAGTATAGAGTACTTATTTGATTATCAATGGGTTTCACATATTTATTATATCGCTATATTACGAGTACTAATAGTATTAGTATATTTTCTAAATCTACATATCATGCCAACTACCCTTTAACGTGAGTATATAACGTAAGCCTAGTAAATATAAGGAAACAAGGTACATTTATTACAACGTATATTTTGCCTTTTAATAACTTGTGTCAACATATCTGAAGTTATGGCGTCAAGCGACAAATATGTAGGAAACCCAAGGCACGGACGGAAATTTAAGCCCTTACAAAAATCTGTTCAAGCCATGTAGATTAACAGCCGGTTTGAAAATTCTATCTACATATTTGTTTTGATATTAGCTCCATAATGCTTTAGTCATAATTCTACCTCCAGTAACCAAATCTGTAGATTGAATATTGAAACCGGCCGTATTTCTATCCGCTGAGATAACGAAATACGGGTATAAAAAATTTCTTTCTTCATATTTGCAGCAACAATTTTGTCTTTAAATGGAGTGCTGTCCGAGCGGGTTTTGCGACTCAAACCGAAAATTGACAAACCTGGGCCAGTAAGTCACATCCCTACTTTTTTTTCTTTATTACGTTTACAAAACTTTTTTTCTTGTCGAGGCCATCGAATAAGTAAAAATGTCTAAGATAAATCGAATTGCATTACTTGATGGGTACATGTTATAAATTTGATCTTAACTTTCATCCATTCTTTTTAATTAATGGTTCACTTGAAGGTCGAAGTATTTCTCCTATTTACTTCACTTATATTTATTTCAATAATGATATAAAAATAATAAATAATAAGATTTAAATAATGTACTTATGTCAAAAGTAAATCGATAGAATATAATTTTTGAACTTTTTATTAGAAGTGATTATAAATATTAATATTATGTCTTCATGTCCTGCACATCTTTCTGAATATGAATTCCTGCGTTTTTAAACATGTAGATTATTAGAGAAATTATACGTTTTACTGACAATGAGATTTTTAAGCCGTTTTACTATTGGAACCAATACACCTATATCACACGAATGAAACTATTTTTAGCGTGTGACGAAGTTGGGCACGCAGGTGTAACACATTATTACTATGGTTATATTGGAGCTAGTTTTCATTGTAAACTTTGTGCACCAAGATTTGAGGTTATATTAATTTTACTAATAGTTAATTTCGTATATGTGGCCTTATATATACTATAATACATAAAAAATTTAATGATAAGTCAATTATCAACATAATATTAAATTCTCATTTACGCCAAAGAACTTTGCGTGCTTTTATGAGAACAGAACATTTTTTTTTTGTTAAATGGTAAATCTGCGTAAAGTTATTCCATTTAAATAGAACACAAAGACAACCTTGTACGTTAAATTATGCTTCGATACACAATAAGTGTAGAATCATAAAAACACATAATCAGCCTACAGCTGAATAAAATTTTCATGATAATGTAATCGAAAAATTAACTTTTGTTTTACGAGTCCAACGTTTTTCTTTAGGCCTTTCCGATTCCTACATGTGTACGTGTACCAGTTATATAATGGAACTCAAAAGGTTTTTTTATCTGTTTAGCTGACCTTAGGACTTAATAAGCTATCTTAAAACAAAATATTCAAAGCATGCGGGACTTGGCTGCCAATAAAACAAGGCCAATGTGTAAACAATCCTTTAAAACGTTATTAAAAATTAATTCGTTTTACAGCCGACGTTGGTAGATAAAAAGGCTGAGAATTTGTTCTTGGTACTGAATGAGCGTCCAGAGAATGATATCTTCGACTCCGAATCGTGCAGGGAAACAGAGAAACTAATCATGCCCAACTTTACAGAACCCGGTCGAAGAATAAGCGAAATAAGTAAGTAACCTGCTGCTCAATATATACTACCACCATAACCTTCTTACCCCATAACCTACTTTTTCTTAATAAAAAAATAAAGAACTAATTAAAAAACCAATAAGATTATATGTGTGTTTTCCTTTAAGGGGCTTCCAGTAACCTGAAAGTTATCTAAGAGTAGGAATATTGCAATCTATAAAATATTATAGCCTTGATACTTTTTCAGACCATCCAGCCCATTCCTGGATGTAGAATAAGTTATAATATAAAAGGAATTGTGATAAAAACAAAATCTTTTTATTTTTTTCAGAGTGTCTGGAGCATCTATGGCGCATGCGATTTTATGATGAGATGCTGTTGAGATCAGTGCGGTGTAAGTTTCAAGTAAAATAAATTATGAATATTATTTTCTAGAACCCTAATAAGAGGTTGTTTTTTTTTTAAATATTAAATATATGAAAATATGACTGTTTTCAGGTGGATTTGACTTCGATTCTGTAATAAGTATAATTTTTGGAGGTCGCGACGCTGAGCCATCAGAATTCCCCCACATGGTATTCTAATAACTATTTATTTTCGTTTTCTTTACACCATATAATGGCAGAAAAGTCATTTATTTTATAACATATTAAAGTTTTAATAATCGTACGTATAAACTGACTGGTTTACAAATTTAGACTTTCCCAGAAGCTCTGCCAAGAATAAAAAACTCTTTATACAAATATACATTCTATTTTTCTTACCTCACGGCTTTTAGTTTACCGGACAGTGGTTACTGAAAACAATGGGCTTCTAAAACACTTATGAAGCGAAAAGCTTTATCGGCAATGGAGCTTCTCATATATTAACTAAATGATATTAATAAATAAAAACTTTCACTTTAAGACCATCTTTCGAAAGGTATGATGCACACTCGGTCAAAGCTTAATTAAAAGTTTGATTTAAGTTGCCACTGGAGTCTGCCAGCAGTGAAAACGTTTGTTATTTAATAAAATAACTGTCTAATAATAGTAATAAAAAGATGCGGCATAGCGTCAAGTACAACATTAATTAATTGTTACATATCAGTTATTCGAAGAGCCGTGATAGCTCTGTGTCAGGGCGCTCGCCTTTAATTCAATATACTCGAGCAACCTGAGTTCGATCCCCGGTGCCAGCACCAATGAAGTTTTTAACTTTAAGTGCTGACTTATCACGTGCTCCGCGGTGAAGGAAAACATCGTGACGAAACATGCATATTTTCGAAATAATAACAAAAACAAAATCGAAGATATGTGAAGTCCGCCAATCCGCAGTGGGGCCGCGTGGTGGACTATGCCCTGATACCTGAAATGCTAAGAAAACAATGTAGAAGAATGCGTTAAGATTTTCGTCGGTGTGTCAATCAGCCGTTTAGCTCGGTGTGGTCAATCGTGGCTAGAGCGTCAGGCCGCGAATGAGACGTGGGTTCGATTCCCACAGCGGCGACAATCTTTTCGCACTTTTTCTACATATTTTTCGAAAAAGATAACTATAAACAATTTAAATTTCTAACAATGGCGACATCTCTCGTTCGAATTATCGTTGTAAAAACGATATTCGAAATTGTTTGATGCTGGAAAGGATCAATAGATGGCGCCAAGCATTGCTTCAAATGCTAAGAAAACGATGTAGAAGAATGCGTTAGTTTTCGTCGGTGTGTCCGCGTGCTCAGTGGACTAGCCGCGAATGCCGAAGACGTGATACCGGCGACAATCTTTTCGCATTTTTTCTACATATTTTAATGTTCCTTTGCAAAGATTAGCACTATAAACAATTTAAATTTCTAAAAAAGCAATGGGACATCTCTCGTTCGAATTATCGTTGTAAAACGATATTCGAAATTGTTTGTATGCTGGAAAGGATTAACAATAGATGGCGCCAAGCATTGCTTCAAATGCTAAGAAAACAATGTAGAAGAATGCGTTAAGATTTTCGTCGGTGTGGCAATCAGCCGTTAGCTCAGTGGCTAGAGCGTCAGGCCGCGAATGCCGAAGACGTGGGTTCGATTCCCACAGCGGCGACAATCTTTTCGCACTTTTTCTACATATTTTAAAGTAAAATTATAATAAAACAATTTTTCTAGAAAACGTACAGATCTTCGTTATGTGTTTTTATCAAACGACAACTTCAGAGTAAAAATAGACACATTGTAAATGTCTTAATTGTGTTTGTGATACATTTAATTTTTCATCTGTGTTTTTAGCATATTTAAAATGAAGGGTATCTTGTATCTTGTATTAACTGATGTTTCTGCTTTCAGTCCCGAGACTATAAAAGCTTCATCGGACGCAGAACCGGTGGGCTAGCCGGAACCCACGGGTTCGGACCCTCCGCTATGGGTAGGGTCGCGCATGTGCTCATGCGTGCGTTTAACTACTATGGTGTATCATCTAAGGGCCGTCGAGGTCGCCGGTTCGGATCGAGACCCCGACGACCGTCGAAATGAGGAGTACTTAGTAGGAATATTTTTCAGGGAGCGGTAGGTTGGAAATCCGTCAATAATACGTGGATATTCAAATGCGGTGCGACACTGGTTTCACAAAAATTCATGATCACAGCTGCCCATTGTTCAAGGGCAACAAGAAGTGATACGCAAATCGCTGATCCTGTTCCCAAAATAGTACGGATTGGAGAGATACATATTGAATTTAAGGTTAATGTTCTTATAAAAATAAATAAATATATAGCTTTCTTTATCCAAACGCAGGAGACTGAAATGGACGTTTTTCCGAGCTAATTAGATTACAGATAGTCACTATCTATATATAGATACCCATACGTCTCCAATAACTAACTACAAATAAATCGACTTATTAAAAATTCTTTTAAAGTAATCAAATCAGTTGAATATAATTTACTAGTTAATTTCAACAGGATTTTAATGAAAAGCCTCCAATAGACGCTGTAATAAAGAAGATCACCGTGCACCCTTATTACAGATCACCAAAAAAATATTACGACATCGCCATATTAGAACTAGATGAACCCGTAATGTTTACATTGAAAAGTCACCCTGCATGCATCTGGACAAATCAATATCAGGAGGTATTTGGTAAAGCTGCATTGACTGGTTGGGGCATAACAGAACCAGGTAAGAAATATCACAATTTGAATGTGCTTACTAGGTTGTAAGTGTATTTATATTGCCATATTTATTACTTACATCAGATTTCATAAGATATCTAAGTAATGTTAAAAACTTCATAACTACGAAAATTAATTGAATAATGAATCATTAATAAAGTAAACTGAAAAATATAGTAACAGTCTTGTATGTCCGAGGAATGGCCAAACATTCGATTCCTGGCACTGGCGAAAAATGTTACGACAATTCTATCTAACCACATTTTTAAGTCATGTCTTAAGTGCAGAAACTAGCAGTAAGAATAACAATTGATATTTAAATTTCAATAGCAGAGGCAACAAAAATCTCTGGTTTTTGAAACATTATTTTAAATTGTAAATGGAAATAATGTTCTTGATATAAAGGTGCTTCCTTATTAGATAACTGAAGTTATTATAGTATTTTTTAAAATGCAATAGACTGAAAATAGATAGGATGTCGAGATTTTCGCGCGTGTTGTGGATGTCGACTGCTTAGCTGAGTGGCTGAAGCATCTGGACGTGGTATCTGGAAGAGGCCGGTTTAAATCCTAGACACGGAGAAAAATTTTGCGACAGTTTTATCTACGCATTTTTTCATTTTATTTTTAGCTAAAGAACTAAAATTAATGGAAGTATAGTATGGAAATTAAAAAAAAAGTATTTACTATGTCCTTCAGGTTTATTATTTATTATTTACTAGGTCATATTATTTACTTATGTCATTGAGGAGTTATAATCCGGTTAGTGAAATATTGTCATCGATCTAGATGTTTCACAAACCTCCTATTATACAAGGAGGCTTTTTAAGTGTATCCATTTTTTTATTAAATTCTAGACATTAATAATGTTTTATAAAAATGATAAATTTATTTAAAATCACTCGTAATTAATTAAATACATTTATTTGAACTTATCTCAAAAAGTGCGTGATTTATGGGCAACTCATTTATTTTTCGCCCGATCATTTATAACTAACACGCACACAAGTTCGTTTCAAAAGTATATGAGGCATTTATGAATAACTACCGCATTGTCAACAAGTCCTGTTTTCTAAGGAATAGAATGACAATCTTTATGAAAACAAATAGTTTGTTTTTATTTCAATAAACGATTATACTACCGAGTCTGAACCTCGAATTTGGGCACCTTTAGAAAAGTGGGTGGCTTTTGGTACACAAACAGACACCAAAGTTAAAAAAATGTCGGAAGTAACATTAGTATAGATGTAGATTAAAATGACATTTTACTTCAGCCTCAATTATTGAAATATATTACATAATAGTAGTACTACTATAAATTGCTCCTCCTCTCAGTGTACGTTTTTGTTATTTTAATATTGTATATGTTGTAATTTTATGTTCTGACTTATCACGTGTCAGCGGTGAAGGGAAACGTTTTGAGAAAACCTGCATATTTTCAAAATAATTTAAAAAATATTAGAAAATGTATGAAGTGCGCCAATCCGCAGTGGGGTCCCGTGGTGGACTACGCCCCGATACCCTCTGTACAGAGTTGGTTTTTGCTCAGCAGTTGGACATTTATGGGCTGTTACTCTACTTGTACTTTACTTCTATAATTATACACGTCAATAAAATACTTATAACAACGAACTGAATTAATAAGAAATAAATCAATTAATAGATTTAATATATCTGTTCTTTTCTGAACAATCAAAGGTAGTCAAGTTGCTTATCCCAAGTTGCAAGTAGCCGAGGTTGACGTCTTAAGTTTGCGAGATTGCGACAAAAGACTACACTCCAGACGAAACCGACATTGGAGGGGACTTGTCTACCATCAGATGTGTGCTGGACATTTGGCTGGAGGTATCGACTCGTGTCAGGTATGCTTTGAAGTGTAATAGAACCCTGCATCGCTGTATGCATTATTGTAACAGGTACACACTACGTCGATATGAAGAAAATATTTAGAGTAACTATATTTATAATTTAACTTTTCATCCAGTGAGCGAAATACATGAAGGCCGAGGTTGGCAAGACGATAGCAACATCACAAATGTTGGGAATTGCTCTTTTGCCATGTTTTAACATTAAAAATAATAAAGAGACACAATAAAAACGTTAAGATATCGTCAATTCAGGTAGTCAAAGACAGGTACGCTTTGAAGAGTGATAGAGCACTGCATCACCTTAAGCATTGAAGGATCGTTTGAGCGGGTAAACAACACATCGTCATGAAGGAAAGATTTAAAGAAAATATATTTATAGCTTTCCTTTTCGTTCGGTGAGCCAGATATATAAAGGCTGAGGTTGGTAAGACAATAGAAACATCACAAATGTTGGTTGATGCTCATTTGCCACATTTTTTTGTCAAAGACTGTTTTGACTAGTAAGTTTTTATCTTGCGTTTTTATCTTTACATTACGTTATCTAATCCCAAACTAAGCAAAGCGTGTACTGTGACATATTTTTCTTTTGTAAAAACTAGTAATATTTACAAAAGAAAACTATCATCACATATATTTATATAGTAGCGGGGATCGAACCCACGCCTTCGGGTGCAAGATACCTGTATCTTGCATCCGAAGGCGCCATGCATCCCATGTGAAACAGTACCTGTACTATTTCACATGGGTTAGCGCTTTAGTACTATTTACATATCGCTCTACAAATGGCCAATTAAATTGGCATAAATAGCTGGTATTTCAGTATGGAAAGCGTTTTTGCGCTATCCATTTCACTTTAACTTGCCATCAAATGGCGCAACAATATCTCATCTTGTTCATCCTTCTACCGGCAGGATGATGTCTGCTGAGTTCGAATGAAGGGGTTTAAACAAAATTCTCATTATAATGTGACTTGTTTAGGGTGACTCTGGCGGCCCACTGCAGATGGAGATCGACATACCGGAATATTCGGACTGGAAAATTCACTACATCGTCGGTGTTACCTCTTTCGGATACGGATGTGGTGTTTTAAACACGCCGAGTGTTTACACTAGAGTATCAAGTTTCGTTGATTGGATCGAAAGTGTTGTTTGGGAAGAAGAATATAAGAAAATGAAAAAATTACATTAGTGTAATGTGTATTTTTTTACATTGGCTAAAACTGCCGCATAATACTGGGAATCGTCTAGAACTAATCCCCATAAGACAAGCATCGCCTAGTGTGGGGATGAGAAAGAAATTATAATGTAATTAGGCTTATGAATATAGTTATTAAATTAGGTATATTATATTATTATTTTTGCTTCTTTAAATTTATATTTATTTGGATTGAAATTTAATCCTATCTTTTTATAATAAATTTGTGAAACCTTTATACCTGACGGAAATGACATAAACAAATTTTTTCTGTACTTTTAAACGTATTACATTTTTGAGGTGGCCTAAATAATATTTCTTTTAAACATATTGAGAAAGTTAATAAGATTACTTGGAGATTTTGTTTTTTCTTTGATTCTGTTTTGAGGCGTATTTTCCTTACGTCAGTTTGCAGGTGTTTGAAATTTGTTATTTCTATCTGAAACCTAATATTGAGCTTAAATGTTTAACCCTCTACTAAATTAAAGATTCTATTACATTAAGATAAAATTTAAAGCCGACACATCGCATATATTTAAACCGAATGTATCATAATAATTTCATTTGTATGACGTGGTATTTATCACTTCATTTACGATAATAATATACACGTGGTATTAGTAATTTAAAACTGAAATTAATTATGATACGTATTATGGTACGGTACCCAAAAAAACAATGCACGGGGATTGGAAGTGTCCTGCTATATAGAAACGCAAAATTGCAGTGCTTGTATCATCATTTTTAATTAAATAAAAGGTACAATTTCTACAAACTTTATTTTTATTTTTCCCCGAAATGTTATATGAATATAATATTTACAAGATTAAGTCTAAAATTACATATTATCTAATAAACCTAACCCACGCGGCATAGTGCCAAGAACACTTATGTATTAGGTAATATGTATACTTTGGCAGATTCATAAAAAAATTGAAGCAGCAAGAGGAACGGGCATTTGTTTTTTTATAGAATGACGAGATCAAAATAATCGCTTTTTATAATTGACCTCGACCAAGACCTGTTCGCCAATCCACGCTTAAGGCGCGGGCACATTGCGGAGAAACTATTATATTAGACTTGTTCATTTACTTCACAATAGACGAGTAGTTCAAAATAGGTGATATAATGATAGTTCTATTAACCCTCTACTAAATTAAAGATTCTATTACATTAAGATAAAATTTAAAGCCGACACATCGCATATATTTAAACCGAATGTATCATAATAATTTCATTTGTATGACGTGGTATTTATCACTTCATTTACGATAATAATATACACGTGGTATTAGTAATTTAAAACTGAAATTAATTATGATACGTATTATGGTACGGTACCCAAAAAAACAATGCACGGGGATTGGAAGTGTCCTGCTATATAGAAACGCAAAATTGCAGTGCTTGTATCATCATTTTTAATTATTAATAAAAGGTACAATTTCTACAAACTTTATTTTTATTTTTCCCCGAAATGTTATATGAATATAATATTTACAAGATTAAGTCTAAAATTACATATTATCTAATAAACCTAACCCACGCGGCATAGTGCCAAGAACACTTATGTATTAGGTAATATGTATACTTTGGCAGATTCATAAAAAAATTGAAGCAGCAAGAGGAACGGGCATTTGTTTTTATAGAATGACGAGATCAAAATAATCGCTTTTTATAATTGACCTCGACCAAGACCTGTTCGCCAATCCACGCTTAAGGCGCGGGCACATTGCGGAGAAACTATTATATTAGACTTGTTCATTTACTTCACAATAGACGAGTAGTTCAAAATAGGTGATATAATGATAGTTCTATTAAATGTGTGTAATTACTTATGTGTTTGATGGATGCAGATGGCTCAGGATCGTGTTTCGTCGCAGTCTGTGGGGGAGAACTATGTTCAGCAGCAGTAGAGCATGTATGTGTAAACACAACTATTTTTTGTTTTACAAAAAGCGATTCACAAAAGCTAACCAAGGTCAATTTTGAGTATTTTGAGTAATCAATGGGTAATATATTTTACAAACTAAATACTATACATAAGGATAAAACTAACTACGCCATTGTTCCGTCTTCAAAAAGTAAATAGGTCGTTCATGGGGCAAAGAGTGGGAATGCTTAATGAAATCCCACAGTCGATATTAAGTCTGCCATTTGATCAATTATTTATATGCAAAATTAAAAGCAAACTTATGGCTAAAGCAAAACATTATTGCGATAAATCTCGACGTCGCCAATGTGTGGAGGTAATATACTGTTCAAAAAATCAAAAATCAAAATCATTTATTCATCGACATAAGAAACTTACTTTTCATCTATCGATGGTCATTTTTTTTTATTCTGCCACCGTTTCGTAATGAGCTAAATGTAAACTGATCTTTTTAAAAAAACCGGCCAAATGTGAGTCGAACTGCACACGAAGGGTACCTATATATCTATAAAATGGCGACCCGAATGGCGTAGTGGGTAATGTACTTGCCTCCTGCGCCAGAAGTTGTGGGTTCGATCCCCAGTACTGGAAATATATTGTGTGATGAATATAGAGCTTTTTAGTGCCTGGGTGTTTATATTTGTATGTATTTACAAAAGAAAAGTATGTTTATCAGTTATTTAGTACCCATAGTACAAGCATTGCTTAGTTTGGGACTAGAGAACATTGTGTAAAAATGTGTACTAAATATTTATTTATATTTTAAAACGGCAAAAAAGTCGTCTGTTGTATGGGAGCTCCACTTTAATTTTTTTTATTCTGTTTTTTAGTATTTGTTGTTGTAGCGGCAACAGAAATACATCATTTGTGAAAATGTCTACTGTCTATCACGGTTCATGAGATACAGGCTGGTGACAGACAGACAGACAGACAGCAGAGTCTTAGTAATAGAGTCCCGTTTTACCCTTTTGGTACGGACCCCTTATAAATATTAAAGTTTTTATAGTATTAAATAACATTTTAATATAACTTATAAATTGATAGCACACATGTTAGTGTTGAAACCAAACAGATAATTACAATTAAACGTAAAAAATCGTGTGGAATTGTCGTCATAAATACCTTTATTTTATTTGAAAAGTTTAACTATACTCATGCATTCAACATTTTCTTCTTTTTCTTCAATAGTGGAGTCACTTCCTACAATTTGAGTTCTGAGTTGCAAAACCTATATATATGCGCTACCTCTGTATGTGACCTGAACAACTTAGATTTAAGATTATCATACAACACCTGAAAATATTTTATAATTTGTTTTAACTAAACATTAATAAATGTAATAAATTTAATTTAAAACGTGCCCATTGACTATATTGCTTTATGACGGCATGCATTTCAAACGTTTCACGGACCTTGTCAGAGGAGCACGTCCAAGATTTATCTCCGTTTACAAAGCGTAAAATGGCGCCTATGTCGACGTCACCCACGACGATCGTCATCAGTATTTTTTTAGGTAAGTACAGGTTATATACACTTAAAATAAATAATTTAATACGCCCTACAATATGTCATTTGTAATGTTATCGTTTTACGGGACTTGCTTGTTCAGTTTATATATTGAAATACATATTTATTATGGTGGATGAATAATGATGGTGTGATCAATTCATGAATGAAACGGATGACCCCTGTGTAAAGAATCGTAATTAGAATCAGAATATTAAAACTGATGTAATGCATAAGAAACCACTGTGGATTAATTTATTTATTAACATGGGTTATACGAAGGATAATGTGCTAAAATAAGTTCGCAGCTTTCCTATGTTTAACTTTTAAAGTATAGAAATATAAGTATTAACTATCGCTTAATAATAACATTATATATGTGCCATTACAAATCGATTACATTAAATAAATCTAAACGCATATATATTTCGAAAATATGTGAAGTCCGCCAATCCGCAGTGGGGCCGCGTGGTGGACTATGCCCTGATACCCTCTGTACAGAGGAGGCCTTTGCCCAGCAGTGGGACATGTATAGGCTGTTAGTTTACTTTACTTTAAACGCATAACTTATATAATATACAATTATGTACATACAGTGTACAGGGTAAACTGATTATAGTTATTTATGCATATATTCATAATTAGTGTTCATTACAATAAATATTTATGTTGTTAATATCTCTATGCCAATTAGTGATATTTTAACCGACTTCAAAAAAGAATGTTTCTCAATTCGACCGTATATATTTTAATTTTTTTTTATGTGTGTTCGTCGTTTATGAACCGATTTTGATGATTATTTTTTTGTTGGAAAGGAGATATCCCAACGGTGGTACCATGATATGTATACCCGGATCTGATGATGGCATCCTAGAGAATTCAAGGGCAATCCTTAAATGTTATATTTAGTTACCAACAATGTTTTTTAGTTTCCGGCTTGAAGTCGGTTTTTTTTTGTTGAAAATTATACTTGTTTCAATTAATGTTAATACGTTATTGCATATGTATCGACTGCACAAACAATAACGCACACTTATCATCTGGACATAACTGAGGAGACAGTAAACAAACATAAGCGGATGCAAAACTACTGCATAAGTAAAGTATGACCATATCTCTAAATTCCGCCACAAGCCCAAGTGGCTCCCGATTCGCATTCTATCCAACCACCACTCATTACTTAAAAGATCGTTTTATATATGCTAGCGGAGCCGAAAGACGTTGTCCTGTACTCACGACTTAAATCCGACAACAACTTATGAATAAAAAAAATGTAGTGATCTGAATTGTTAATAATCTAAAACATTCTTGTGTCTAAAAACTGCTCTGTCTTCTTGAGCAGAGTAGTTTTTCATGAAAATGCGATATCTTGCATCATTCACTTTGGTGCAGTTCCTTATGCCAAACATACTAGGAGTAAATTCTTGAACGGTCTTCATTTTTTCGTCAGTGAAAATATCAGCAGCATCTGTTAATATGCAAAAACTGTTTGATATCTATCGTTTTTTGTTATATTTCACTTTTTAAATTTCGACAATCGGAATTCAGGACTGATTTTTCGCAGACAACCCTATACCACCGTGTTCGTAATGAAATAATCTTTATATTCATTTAATTTTAATTCATTAACCAGACCGGTGCAAGTTAGCTAGCATCGACTTACCTGTTTATACCTGCCTACCCGAGGCTTGTGACGGGAAAAAAAAGGCAACCTAACGTTTACATAATCTATGTGCTTTATACTTTCGATTGTTATAGAATTTGTCTATTAACCAAACCGGTGAAATGTTTAAATTTTTAATTATTAATTAATCTTATCCTGGACTGAAATTTCTTAAACAACCCATATGTAATATATTTATTGATATATTAAATTGAATATAAAATACGTTTCATCCATAAACCAGCTCGGTGAAGGTCGTCTTATATCGGGATCCTATACTATTAGCTTTATGATCGAGGTTCTTTCTTTAGACCTCGCATATTTCACAGATTTGTATGACACGTACAACAATTATTCCGGGTCTCGGTGTTTCTACATGCAAATTGTTTATGTAAACCCGACATACAAAATATTATAATCACTAATTTCCACAGTGATATGAAAAATAAAGGAATCATCTGCAAAAGTCAGTACAGAAAAGCAATGATTTCCTGTTGATCATTAGGATCAACAGGACGTTATTTCAATTTATCTTCCTCTTGTTCTCTGTATTTTGTTTTCCTCACCGCAATTGTAGCATAATGGTACGTAACAAATCATATTTATTATCCTTATTAGTCACTATGATGGAGTAGCAGAAAGATTACCTCATGATTTGGTTCTGTTTTTATGTGAAAAATTGCCAAGCGAGCAGGCGGTTCACCTGATGTTAAGTGAATGCCCGCCGCCCATGGATATCTGCTACACCCGAGGGTTCCCGATGCGTTAACAACCTTTTGAAAATTGGGCTCCGGCTACCTTACTCACCAGTTGAAACGCGAAAGTATTATACTTCCACTTTACGCCGGTCTTCTGTGAGGTCGTGGTACTTACGTAGACGAGCCTGCCCATTCGTGCAACAGCCGAGGCTGCTGCGTGGCCTTACCACCGTTAATCGCGTCGTACCAATGAGGTTTTTAATTACTAAACAATTTAAGTGCTAACTGATTTACACATTGGAAAAAAAAGTAAAAGTAAAGTATCAGCCTATACATGTACCACTGCTGTGCAAAGGCCTCTTCTGTACAGAGGGTATTAGGGCATAGTCCACCACACGGCCCCACTGCGAATAGACGGACTTCACATATCTTCGAAATATTTTTTTGTTATTATTTTGAAAATATGCAGGTTTCCTCACGATGTTTTCCTTTATCGCTGAGCACTTGATAATTCGGCACTTAAAATTAACTCGAGTGTATATTGAATTAAAGGCGAGCGCCCGGACACTGAGCTATCACGGCTCTAACTGCATTGAAAAAACTTTCTATAAATACACTCAGCTATACTTTTATACTACATTTATCTATATCTATACTATAAATAACTGAAACAACTTAATATATGTGCTAGGCACGTAACTTGTTGAATCGCAACTAAAAGAATTGACGCCGATGTGAAAAGTAACGCTTGTGCGACCCATGGTCGTTCTGTCGACTTGTTTGAGCATTTTCTAAATCTAACAAGGTTGTCTGTTCCTTATTACAGCAACAATACTATTCATGGATTCATTTCAAGTGTGCGCATATCGAGCGTACCATCCTGCTAGGAAACGTGGTAATGGAACTGTGAGTTATATTTAATAAATTTGTTTTATTTTCATTAAGAACATGATATTGTTCAGTGTTTGTAAATTTGACATTCCAACAACACTCGTATTAGTTCTAGTAAAGCTAGGCTTTAAATTATTCTTAGATACTTCTCTGGACGAGAATCCGTAAATTTGCGTGATGACCACAGTAAAATTATCCATAAATCAGATTAAAATCTCAGAATAACCGAAAATATTGTAACTAAGGCTACAGAACGTAACAAATTAAAAATTGGAAGTGTTATTCTTTTTATTCTACTAGCTTGTACGAGAAACGTGGTCAACCAGTATTGTAATATGCAAAATATTAATAGAAAACGATGAAGACACATCTAAAATACGGGTAAACGGTAAAATAGACATTCTAACGTTACAGCTGACACCTGTTGATAAGCAGACCTATGTTTTATTCAAAATTCTGGATGAGATGCCGGATAATGAGCTGTTCCGGGCGAAATCATGCGGTCTGATGGAGCAGGATGTGCCAGACTTCAAAGCGCCCGACCGGCGGATAAGCCAAGTTAGTAAGTAAGCGGTTTTTATCACGATGTCATTCCTAAAGTATACAACGACCTTTAAAGAATAAAACCACGTGTATGAGGCCTGATGGCTTGGCTTAGTTTGGACTGTCAGGTTGCTTGTTGTTTAAGTTGTTATTTACGACGTCATTGCCAATGAAGCCAAGACAACATAATTCATCAAACTTATCTGTTCGCCACAGAGTTCGAACCTACGCCTTCCGGGGAAGATCTCTGTAGTTTTTAACTATTTATTGTAAAAAATGTCATTTGAATGTGTTTCTTGTAGGGGAAGTTGGCGTCAAGAATTTTTTAAAATGCAAAAACAATGTAGGACAGGACTTCGAGTAGCACGGAGAATATTATGGGTAGAGAATCTGGGCACGTTACCGAAGGCACCGGTTCGATTCCTGGCTAAAAAAATTCTCAATTAAAAATTTCATCACTAAAAAGAAAACTAAATAAAATAGGTCATTGATTTTCGTAAGTCCTAATACCTAATTCTTTTCAAACAATATTTAATTTACATGAAATTGATGATAATTATATTGCATAGGAAACAAAGAGCATTTTACAACTTGCTTATTTTATTATTTTGCCATTAGCATTAAAATTTATTTGTATCAACATCAACAATTATTTTGATTACATCAAATCGTTGGCAAAAAAGTTTATTTACTCATTTTATACCTAATCTATACTTCGATTTGATACGTAAAGTATGTCATATTTTTTCAGAATGTTTGGAACAGTTGTGGAAGATGCGGTTCTATGACCAGCTCCTGTTGAAAAAGGTGCGATGTAAGTATGCCAAGTTAAATCATAAAGTTTGAACTAAATTGTATCAACGCGAGTTCTTTTAATTAATTTGCGCTTAATTTTAAAGGTAAAGCGGATTTAGACGGTGCTTACGTTTCATTCGCTATTTACAAAGGAGATGAAGTGCATACAGCAAAATTTCCACATGCGGTAAGTTTTCCACTTATTAACTTTGTATAAAAAACATATTTTTATTATAAAAACATTGCTCACAACACATGACAATGTTATCCTATATTAAATAGGATAACATTGTCATGTGTTGTGATGACGGCTTACAAACTAATTCGACGTGGACAAACACCTAGATGCTAAACAATTATCTGTGGGTCACACGAATAGTTGTCCCGTGTGGTAATCGAACCCACGACATCTAGCACGGAAGCTATTACCTTGGTAACTACGCCACGGAGTCATCTTAGCACTTCTACGTTCTAACCTTAAAATTATCCAATTGGCGTAATGCACGTGTCAACGGCACCAGAGGATGTGGATACATTACTATTTCTAGCAGATGTATTAACAACTGATGACTAGAAATATTTATTTTACAGGGTGCCATAGGATGGAAGACCGTGAGTGGCGCATGGATATTTTTGTGTGGCAGCGCCTTAATTAGCAACAGATTCATGCTTACTGCAGCCCACTGTTCTAGATCATCAATACACGATGACAGAGTCGCCGATCCATCACCGAAAATAGTGAGACTGGGTGAATTTAATATCTTGGACTCGGTACGTTCGATACATACAATTTTTGTTTAAATGTAAAATCTATTTCAAGTATGTAACAAGAACCACACAGATGATGAAACCCTTAAAGTTTTTAGAATACTTATATATTAACGTTCCAAACTCCTAATCTTATTTATCGCAATTTGAAGATAGAAAAACAGACTGCAAGGTTTATAACGTTGTAAGCTATCTGACTGTGATAAATTTAGACATGTTACTTTTGATAGTCAAAATATTTTCAACTTAAAAAATCTATACCAAAAATGTAGATAAATGATCTTTAGTACTGATAAGAAATTTTCAGTAAGTTTTGATAAAAAAAAATGCTCATAGGCTCATGAGTATGGACATATGTATAAGTACAACATCACAAAAAATGCATGCAAGTTTATATAACAAATAGTAACTTATTTTGAATTCAATGTTTTTGCCTACGTTACTTTAGAAGAGTAAGTGAATTTTATACTATCAGGAACCTGAACCGCTTTGTGTCCAATATGCGACACTGCTCCCTCAGATCTTTAGTGATTGCGACTAAATAGATGAAAATGAAAATAGGTGAATAAGTATAAATGGCAGTCTGTTGGGGAGGCCGATGCTTAGCAGTGGCCTCTAACAAGCTGAATTGATGAATTATAAATAAGTGTGACAGCATCAGTAGTAGTCTAATCGAGGAAGACTAAAAGGCATTAAAAATTATTGATTTGAAATTTTTCATTCCAGATCGAAAGTGGGAAGAAACCCATGGACTTTTATATAAAGAATTTTATAGTACACGACAATTACCGCTATCCATATAAATACAACGATGTTGCGGTCATTGAGTTAGAAAATTCAGTCCCGTTTACATTGTACAGTAGCGCATCCTGCATATGGCCGTATGATGATAAAAAATTATTCGGGGAGGCCTATGAAACTGGATGGGGAATTGTTGAATCAGGTGCAGTTATTATTTGGTTAAGTTAAGATTGATCCTTAAAACATCTACTAAATCATTTTCATTATACTTGGATGTTTATTTAATGTGCCTACTGGGTTTTAAATACAAATGCCTGAATTCTTCTAAAGGGTGATTTAAAACTGATACATTTATGACGGTAGGGCCACGCAAGACCTTTTTCTGTTGCACGAATGAAATTAATCTCACAGAACGAGCGTAAAGTGAAAGCATTATATTTTCTCACTTCGTCTGGTAAGTGGAGTAACCTGGCTTTTTAAAGTTTTTCAACGCTTCTGCAAGACCTTCATCTGCAACACCAACCAAGAATAGGTGTCAATGGGAATTGTCAATCACTTAACAGCAGCAAAACCGCTTGCGCTGTCAAATGAGTTAGAGTTATATTCTATCGTTCTTCATTCAGTTCTCCAGAAGAAAATGGGTATCTGTACTGACACTAGTTAAATTGTAATTGCTTATTTAAATTAAAATGTTCATCATATAAATGTGTATCATAAAGACATCTTTTTTTTACATCGTAGATGAAACCGACTCCAAGCCATTTTACAAAGTTGCTAAAGTAAATTTGATAGAGCAACAAACATGCAGTGACATATTAAAAGAAAGACTTAACACATCACAGGAAGTTCTAAGCTCGCATAAAATTTGTGCTAACTACGCTTCTAACGACACTTATCGGGTGAGAAAAATGACTCTTTTATATTATAACGGCGAAAAATTACAAATGGGAAAGTAGAAAGGATGTTAAGTGTATAATCAGAAACAATGTAGCTCATTAAATGCACTTTACCCGATGTTTGACCTACCTGCGCATGTTTATGCAAAAACGTGTATATGTCTACACTGCCCAGCTGAATAGATTTAAGTGCAATTAAATTACTCAATCATTTTCGAATGGTCGTCCTGCACGGCACGCAACATTGAAAATAATTGTAGTACCACCATCCAAGTAGTGCCACCCAACAGTTTCGGCTGTTGCACTAATGGGTCCGTCCGTGTAACTACCACGACCTCACAGAAGTGAAGAAGTGGAAGTGTCATACTTCTGCGTTTTGTCCGGTGAGTGACGTAGCCGGTGCCCACTTTATTATAAGGTGGCAAACGCATCTACAACCCTACGGTTGTTGCAAATGACCATGGATGGTTATCACCTAACATCAGGTGAACCTGTAGTTCGCTTGCCTCCTTCTCGCATAAAAAAATCCTTCAACCGCATACTATAATTAGTATAGATAAATATTCTAATATTATTTTTATTAGTATATCAAAATTATTGTTTTAGGGGGATTCTGGGGGCCCACTGGTGATGCCTATTCTCAACCCTGGCTTTTCGGACTTTACAATTCACTACATTATTGGAATTGAAACTGCAACTTCTAACTCTTTCGATATTCCAAATATATACACAAAGGCATCAAGTTTCGTTGACTGGATAGAGGATATAGTTTGGAAAACAGAAGTTCCTGTAAAAGAATTGTTGTCAGAGAGAAACTTTGCAAATATTTATGGAAATTTATAGATAAATAAAATATTTGGCGAATCCTATTCTGCAATTCGTAAAAATGGAGACGTCATTAATTAAATTTTTTGTTTCGATGACTATGTCTGCTGGCCTGTTATGTATTTTGGTAATCAAAATGTTACTAATTAAAACCTGGGGTGGGTACCCTGGCCCTATTACCGAGCCCGTCTTTTCTAATTTGCATGAAAACTAAAACACAAAGCATACAACTTTTAAAGTTATCTTATCTCTTTGTTTTGAAAATGACGTTTCTTAAGAAGATTACCTTTGTCCCAACGTGCCACAAGCTTTTAGTCCTCGTACAACTTTATCTACTAAAGGATTACAGAAAACAGATATAAAAGAGGAAAAACAAGGCTTTGTATTTTAAATACAAGATGTTATTTCTCCAATTAGTGTTCTAAGTTTTTTAAAAGAATTCTATTCAATCCGTTAGTTAAATATAACGATGATAAATAGTATTACACTACTGAAAACTCTCGCATAACTATAGTCATACGAAGAATACATAATTTTTTTTTAAATAATCATGTAATAAATATGATTTTAGTTCTTAAGAAAATTACTTTCAGAAAAAAAAAGAACTGCTTTCAAAAAACTCTATTAGCATTAAAAAAGTTTGAATTAATACTTAATCTTATCACCATAATCAAATGAAACTAATTTTACGGATTTATCGCGTTTATTTTTAATTTTAGTTCCCGACGTTTCGAACCCTTTACAGCGTTCATGGTCACGGGACAGACTGAGGTGTTAGACGTCTGATTGTCAAAGTTAACCCGGGCTACCGTCAGTTTTTGTATTATTGATTTTGTGTCCGATCTATGCAGAGGGAGCTAATTGTATCTTGTCTTGCAGTAGTGGTTCTTTTGGGCTTAGATTTAATTTTATTGATGATAGGATCCCAAGCTGATGGTAGTACCCAACCCTCTTCTCTATTGAAATTAGGGTGTTTTTATTTCAATAGCCTCGCGAATCATCCTCGGGAGGAATCGGTGTTCTTTTGCAAGGATCTGTGGTCTATCAAACCTGATGTAGTGGTTGGGCCGATTTAGAGTGTGCTCACAAACTGCAGACTTGTTTAATCTACCATGTTTTATGTCAGTTATATGTTCTTTCACGCGGGTTTTTGTAGCTCTTTTCGTTTGTCCTATGTAAGAGAGCCCACATTCACAGTCAAGTTTGTACACTCCTGGATCTTGCAGAGGGATATTACACTTGACAGATGGTAAAAAAATAATCTTCTACTAATCTTCTTCAGCGGCTTGTAGAATGTATTAATTGAAGCCCGCTTTAAGATATAGCCAATCTTGTCGGTGACTCCTCTGACATATGGTAGAACAGCAGGTACTCGCTCCACTGTGGTTGGTTTCACTCGGTCACTGTGACGTAGGCGCGGTGCTCGAAGTTTGTTGTCATGCAGAACTTGCTTGACAAGTTGAAGCTCAGCGGCCAGGTGTTGTTTGTCACAGATCCCTTGTGCTCTCTGAAACAAAGATTTACCCACGGTAGCTAACTGGGATGGATGGCGGTGAGAGTCACCGTTTAGGTATCTATTTGTATGGGTTGCCTTCCTATACACAGTGTGACTTATAGTGTTGTTTGGATTGCGGATGACCAAAACATCTAAGAAAGCTAAAGAGTTATTATTCTCTAATTCCATAGTGAATTGTATTTTGGAATTTACTGAGTTAAGGTGATTTAAAAATGCATTAACTTTACTTGTTGGTAAAATGGTGAAGGTGTCATCTACATACTTCTTATAAAAACCTTGGATAAATGGGAGCTGTGCGAAGGGCCTTCTCCTCAAAGTCTTCCATAAATATGTCAGCGACAATGGGAGATACTGGGCAGCCCATTGCTACACCATCTATCTGTATGTAAAATTCCTCCTTCAAAAGCAAATAGCCAGTTGGAAGGCAATGTTTAAGTAGTAATGCATACTCTTCCGGCATGTTATTCTCTTTTAGCTTCCTTGTTACAATTGAGATGCAGTCTTCTAATGGTAGGCATGTAAATAAAGACTGTACATCAAAACTGACCATTGTTTCATTGTCAGCAAGACATAGTTGTTTTATCTCACTAACAAAATGGTAAGAATCCTTTGTGTATGCCCGTGTGTGTCCTCTCAGCGGTGAGAGAATTTGTACTAGATGTTAAGCCAGTCTGTAAGTTGGTGAGTCGATCTGGCTTACAATAGGGCGTAATGGCAAGTCTGGTTTGTGTACTTTAGGCAACCCATACAATTTAGGGGGTTTAGCACATGAAGGTGTCATCGATTTCACGTCTAGATTTAATTTTTTCGGAGTATTTTTTTAATGAGATCGCTAGTTAATTTAAGTGTTTTAGTGGTTGGGTCTGTTTTGACCTTTTTATACGTGCTTACATCCGACAACAGTTCTTGTATTTTCAAATTATAATCCGACGTTTTCATAACCACCGTAGCATTTCCTTTATCTGCGTGGAGAACAGTTAAATCTTTGTTGTTGCGTAAGCTGTTTAACGCGTTAAATTCATCTTTGGGGAGGTTAGACTTTGGTACCGAACTTCGACGTAATAAAGACGAAATATCTTGTCGTATACCTTCTAAATCTTCCTTGCCGATATTATTTTTATATAGACAGTCCTCGACCCTAATTTCAATAGAGAAGAGGGTTGGGTACTACCATCAGCTTGGGATCCTATCATCAATAAAATTAAATCTAAGCCCAAAAGAACCACTACTGCAAGACAAGATACAATTAGCTCCCTCTGCATAGATCGGACACAAAATCAATAATACAAAAAACTGACGGTAGCCCGGGTTAACTTTGACAATCAGACGTCTAACACCTCAGTCTGTCCCGTGACCATGAACGCTGTAAAGGGTTCGAAACGTCGGGAACTAAAATTAAAAATAAACGCGATAAATCCGTAAAATTAGTTTCATTTATAATGTGTAATCGCGTAAATACAAGAAATTATTACCATAATCAAATCTTGAAAATATAACCTAACCTTCTTACCTTAGAAGGTATTTAACAATTTCTGGAGTCGCTGCCGAGCCAAGTATTTCCGATCTGGGAATAAATTAATTCTCTTATTTTATATTTCTTATCTTTGTTACACTACTTAGGTAGATTAGATACATAATTAAATACATATAACTATATTTCAACATTAAAACATGTAGAAAAAGTACGAAAAGATTGTCGCCGCTGTGGGAATCGAACCCACATCTTCGGCATTCGCGGCCTGACGCTCTAGCCACTGAACTAAACGGTTAAAAGCCACAGCGACGAAATCAGCGGGTTACACAAACACTTGACACGTGTGGGAATCGAACCCACGACCCACAGCGATTTAGCTTAGCGACACCGTAACCACAGTAACCACAAAGACGCTTCTATCGAACCCGGAAATATATTCCAATCCTTTATACACGAACATAAAAACGCGGTCGAATAGGTACTATCCGTATGTACGACAGAATAATAAAAACCTATCGTTAGCTGCTAACAACAGTGGCTATCCAAAAAGGATGTTTTAATATGGTACGGTCACGCAGCAGCCTCAGCTGTTGCACAAATGTGCAGGCTCGTCCGGGTAAGTATCACGACCTCACCGATGACCGGCGTGGAAGTATAATACTTTCGCGTGTTAGCTATACTTTGTTTTATCGAGCTAAGAAGGTAGGAATATAAATACTTTTACCAAATCACCGTAGTTTTACTTTGCACAACAATAACACTGGTATAATTACTTATTTTATCACTTTAATATCAATAATGAAACACCACTCTAGATACCAATTGGGCAGCACTATCACGTATACTTCATGATGACAGCCAGAGAAAGACGAAGACCACGATCAAGGCCACGAAATGCTTCTTGCAGCTTCATTTATACCCCACAGAATGACACTTCTTTTAGTATTGCCAACAACCTCAAGGAATGACTTCCTTTAGTGTTGCCAATACGCGTTTCGTCTGGTGAGTGAAATAGCCGAAGCCCAATTTTCAAAAGGTCAACGAACCTGCAACCCTCGGATGTAGCAGATATCCCTGGGCGGTGGTATTCAGTTAACATCAGGTGAAGCGCCTCCTCGCCTGGCAACTTCTCACATAAAAAAAGGAAAGTGGATGGACAGAGTTTCTTGTGTAATTTCTATTACAGATTCCAATGTCTCACCGCTTTTGAATTTTACTTCATAGGACATTCCATACAATTTGATTATTGCAATTTCTTAGATATAAAATTCCATATCACTTCACATTTACATAAACCGCCAATAATTATTTTCCTGTTGATCCTAAGACGTCAAAATTGTGAATAAAAGATGCCATCATGCCAAAGCATTCGAAGTAGAAACATTAAGGACCTAGCAAGTTGAAAGTATTACCAGACACTGCGTATTTACTAACTTTTCATATTAAATTTTGATACTTACCCCGAAAATCTTTTTATCCTGTTGACTCTGGACCTTGATTTTTATACACCTAATAGGCACTATAGACCTCAGTATCCTGAGAAAATTGGTGGTGACACACGGGTAAACAGCCGTCTGGCCGTCTTGTCCGTACAAGAGAATGATGATTATAAGGGTTCCTTTTTTTACCTTTTAATGTACGGAACCCTAAAAACGAATGTATCAACTAATTAGAGTGACAATAAACTATTTGTGGAAGGAATTAGCTTTCTTTAAACCTATAGCGTTAAAAATAAGACTGATAATAATTAAGAATTTCCACATCCGGTTCAAGGCAACCAAGACTGATAGAGAACTAACGTCTGATATAAAGTCAGAAGAGCCGGCTATCGGATGAGTGCAGACTATCACAAAAATATAGAAACATAAAATTGGATTTAAATACTCAATTTCATTTTATAAATATACATATTTCTAAAATTACACATTGTGTAAATGAAATTATTGAATCTTATAATATAAAAAACATATTTTAACCACTTCACTCCTTAATATTTCTTAACCTAACAAATCCAAATTTATTGTACCCATAGATTTTTCGGTAGATTATGTAGACCTTTTGAATTTCCGTATTTTGGTAATAATACCAAAAAAATTGAAACTAGGTTTTTTTTATAAACTAATTTGATAGAGTCAACAGACTATGGACCTGCCCATTCGGGAAAATATCATAGCGTCACGGAAACCGGTGCAAAATAAAAGTACCTATTTATACTTTTTTTTTTGTTTCGTCTGGTGAGGTAATCGAAGAGGCACGCTCTCTGGTTGGTCTCACGCCTTGACTATTTCTCGAATAGTGGGTCTTCCTGGACCTGACTAACTAAACACGTGCACAGTTTCGTTGAAATGAAATTAGGCATGGATCATATTCTTATCTACTTATTATTTGTTTCTTGATACAAAATGTAAGGCAGTGGGGTGCCTAGCATTTCACGCTGTACTAATTTAATATCCAACGAATAAAGAAAACCATCCAAAACACTTATGTCGATACTAACAAAACATATTAACGGATTAACCAATTATACCTTTAATTAAAAATCCTTACAAGAGATATAACAATAAATTTATAAACAAACCTGACAGTTCAAACTTTATGCATCTCCGCAGGTAAATTACTTCATCTCAATTATTTGATTCCTATAGTCATCTATTCAAAAACTAATGCAACGTATTAAAAAAAAGCTTTTAAGACCTAAGCAAGTGGAATTTTTATTTTATCTAAACCAAGCTTATAGAAGTCGTGGATAACTACAGCAACTCGAAACTTTATTTTCTAAAAAGGAAAAGTAACGTCCTTGAGCCGCATTGACGTGCCGATTGCTGCGGGTACTTTCCCGCAGGCGCTGGAATGTGTATTTTACTCTTAAGGAATTTCCGCCGACGTGACCTATAGTTTATATTGAAATCAACTATAAACTGACCACAACAAAATATCGCACTAAAATAGTCCTACGTAACGCAGTAAATAATAACAGATAATACTTAAACACGTAAGTTTTCTGACGTAAACTTAACACGTCATAGCTTTCTATTATATTAAGATACAGTCTTTCTCAAGAAACTCGATGTAAAATAACCTCTTTAGAATTATTTTCTTTACAAATAGCCCGACTCCAATAACTGTTGTGAGTATAGAGACTAACACTAAACATAACTATGTACTTTAAATTTTAGTACATCCAAAAGTCTTACTTTTAGTAATAAGACCGCCCATTGTACCATCACTTCTTAATAAGATTTATTTTCATTTAATTATTGGCGTGCAATAAAATATATTCTTTCATTCTTGTACAAAACACGTGATTGGTTAATTAAAGTTATTTGTAGTTTACAATATGTTAATATTTTTCGATTATATACCTACATACATTTAACAAGTTCGAAAACATAATATCATTTCAAAACTTTGCAAGAATGTCAGTTTAGAAAAAATTACACAATTAGGTAAGTCAAAACAAATTTATTCAACCTATCAGCGCCATAATGAATACCATTAAAATTCAAAATAAGTAAAACATTTTTAAACAAGCCCAATTTTCAAAAGGTTGTCAACGCATCTGCAACCCTAGGATTTAGCAGATGTCTATGGGCGGCCGTATTCACTTAACATCAGGTGAACCGTCTGCTCGCTTGGCAACTTTTCAATAAAAAAAAACATTTAACATACAAACAATGCTTATTTCGTCTTAAAAAAGCCTTAATTTATTGACATTAACTGAAACTAGACTAGACGGGTTGCAGAGAAGTTGCCAACCTTAAAAATGTAGGCCCCGTAAAAAAATAAAAAATAAAAGGCCCCCGTTACCTCACATACCAGACGAAATACAAAAATATTTACTTCCATTTCATGCCTGTCATCTGTGAGGCCGTGGTACTTCCCCGGACGAGCATGCCATTCGTGGAATAGCCATTCACATATTTAATTCATAGACTAGTATTAATTACACTTATTCACTAGATGGAGCGACGACCTTTGCAAGTGTGCGTGAAGTCGATGGATGCAGATGGCTCAGGATCTTGATTCGTGAGCATTGGACTCAAACAGGCTGAAATGATGATGATGATGAAATAATATACATATCCCTAACAATCCAGTATACAACAACGATAAAATTGTAATAGGCTAAAACCAGAAAGCCGTTCCTTTGTAGTTTTATAACAAAATAGGTCCAAGGTTTAACTGCGATAGGGCCATGCAACACTGTCCACTGTTGCACGAATGGGCAGGTCCGTCCGGGTTAGTACCACGACCTCACAGAAGACCGGCGTAATGGAGAAGTGTTACACCTGTGCGTTTCGTCTGGTGAGTGAGGTAGCTGGGGTCCACTTTATTTAAAGGTGGCAAAGCATTTGCAGCCCTGCGGGTGTTGCAGGTGTCCATAGGCGGTGGTTATGACTTAACATCAGGTGAATCGCCATCCCGTTCGGCACTTTCTCACATATAAATAGTACATCTAAACAATTTCAAACATTTGGTTAAAGGTACCCTAATGGCAAGGGCCTATTATAATGTCGAAGAAAACATTGAGGACTCTTGCTCTGCTCTTGCATGTTCCATGGGCTGCCGCTGTTATTACACCTTAATAATTTTGTGTAATTGTATCATTACAAAAAAGTTAACATAACCGAAGAGTTTCTTGTCGGATTTTCTCTGGTCATGTCCAGTTTAGTGAACTGGTGGCAGTTTTTTTTGATGTTCAATACGATCTAAAACTAACCCATATTGAATTAAAAAATTTTGACTTGACTTCGGTAAACATTCAATGTATAAGAGATAAATAATCAAAGATGTGATATCTTAATAAAAATCCCACGAATCTTTTTTACTATCTCAACGCACTGAATTGTAATTCAAATTGTTGGAAGCTTTTCAAGGACAATATGAATTCAAATTTCACGATATATTTTGAAATTTAGATACAGATAGATGCTTCTATATCATGACCTATTGTTGTCCCTATATTCCCATTCCAACTAATTGAATTTCTAGGTTTCTAGGCGACCGAAATCAAACTTTTCAAGTCAACATTTTTTGCCGCCAAATAGACGTTTAAATGTTATCAAACACGTACTCATATTGGTCATAATCAAATGATACTGTACAAATATATCAGTTGAAGAAAAATAATAAATAAGTGCAGTCGTAATTAATTTCATATTAGAATTTTGAAGCCGATCGATTTCGCTTTCCACAAAATGCACTTTCTTTAATTTAAATGAAACGAGTTTGAGTACATATCTGACACCGCCAGTGACGTATCAAACCTAAAGGGATAAATAACACGTGCAGTGTGTGAATGTTTCTTAACTCGGAGCAACCGGCGGTGCTGGGTAACGTTACACACGGTTTAAATAAAAGGTGCGCTAAAGAAAACGCGATTAACCTATAAAGCAACAATGAAAAACATGCGGCACTTATTATTTATATTACCGTCAGGTAAGATATAGCATTTATTAGTGTTAGTGATTGAAAATAATTTTAACGGTGGTAGGGCCACGCAGCAGCCTCGGCTGTTGTACGAATGGGCAGGCTCGTTTGGGCAAGTACCACGACCTCACAGAAGACCGGCGTAAAGTGGAAGTATAATACTAGCGCGTTTCGTCTGGTGAGTGAGGTAGCTGGGGTCCCACTTTATTTAAAGGTGGCAAAGCATTTGCAGCCCTGCGGGTGTTGCAGGTGTCCATGGGCGGTGGTTATGACTTAACATCAGGTGAATCGCCATCCCGTTCGGCACTTTCTCACATATAAATAGTACATCTAAACAATTTCAAACATTTGGTTAAAGGTACCCTAATGGCAAGGGCCTATTATAATGTCGAAGAAAACATTGAGGACTCTTGCTCTGCTCTTGCATGTTCCATGGGCTGCCGCTGTTATTACACCTTAATAATTTTGTGTAATTGTATCATTACAAAAAAGTTAACAAGACCGAAGAGTTTCTTGTCGGATTTTCTCTGGTCATGTCCAGTTTAGTGAACTGGTGGCAGTTTTTTTTTGATGTTCAATACGATCTAAAAGTAACCCATATTGAATTAAGAAATTTTGACTTGACTTCGGTAAACATTCAATGTATAAGAGATAAATAATCAATCCCACGAATCTTTTTTACTATCTCAACGCACTGAATTGTAATTCAAATTGTTGGAAGCTTTTCAAGGACAATATGAATTCAAATTTCACGAAATATTTTGAAATTTAGAAACAGATAGATGCTTCTATATCATGACCTATTGTTGTCCCTATATTCCCATTCCAACTAATTGAATTTCTAGGTTTCTAGGCGACCGAAATCAAACTTTTCAAGTCAACATTTTTTGCCGCCAAATAGACGTTTAAATGTTATCAAACACGTACTCATATTGGTCATAATCAAATGATACTGTACAAATATATCAGTTGAAGAAAAATAATAAATAAGTGCAGTCGTAATTAATTTCATATTAGAATTTTGAAGCCGATCGATTTCGCTTTCCACAAAATGCACTTTCTTTAATTTAAATGAAACGAGTTTGAGTACATATCTGACACCGCCAGTGACGTATCAAACCTAAAGGGATAAATAACACGTGCAGTGTGTGAATGTTTCTTAACTCGGAGCAACCGGCGGTGCTGGGTAACGTTACACACGGTTTAAATAAAAGGTGCGCTAAAGAAAACGCGATTAACCTATAAAGCAACAATGAAAAACATGCGGCACTTATTATTTATATTACCGTCAGGTAAGATATAGCATTTATTAGTGTTAGTGATTGAAAATAATTTTAACGGTGGTAGGGCCACGCAGCAGCCTCGGCTGTTGTACGAATGGGCAGGCTCGTTTGGGCAAGTACCACGACCTCACAGAAGACCGGCGTACTACCGCGTTTCGTCTGGTGAGTGAGGTGGCCAGAGCCCAATTTTCAAAAGGTGGTCAACGCATCTGGAACCGCCTGCTCGCTTGGCAGCTTTTCACATAAAAAAAAGGTTGTATGAGCAAAATAACATAAAATATATTATTACAATCCACTAACTGGTCCACACCCGCTTTTTAATTCAAATATACGGTTTTATTTTTTTCAGTGTCTCTAATACAATTCATTTTTGGATATGGCCTTGATGCTCTAACACCTATACATTTCTTGACCGTGAAAAAGGTTTGTACGTTACAGTTCAGTAGTATTCCTCGATTTTTATAATTTTGACATATATTCCCACTACCGAATGGGCCGTCTCATCCGGTTTAGGGTGTCTGCTGTATGGGAGCCCCACTTGAATATTTTTTATTCTGTTTATTTAACATTTGTTGTTATAGCGGAAACAGAAATACATCATCTGTGAAAACTTCAACTGTCTAACTATCACGGTTCATGAGATACAGCCTGGTGACAGACAGACAGACAGCAGAGTCTTAGTAATAGAGTCTTGTTTTACCCTATGGGTACGGAACCTTAAAAACCCTTCTATGTCATAAGATTCAAATAGCACAAGACACAAAAACAAAGTCTTATTGTTTTAGCAATAATATGGTGTACTGATTGCAGGAAATCCTTTTGCGCCAGCGGTTAGCGACAGAAAATCCTAAGAGTGCAGAACACGAAAACAATCCTTGTAATTTCAAAGAGTTAGAAAAACCAAACTTCGATACACCTGGTCGTAGAATTAGCGAGTCGAGTAAGCTCTAATTACTACACAAATATAATAAAAAATATACTGAATTTATTGAATGAAATTATTTACCATTTCATTTGTTTTTTTTTTTTTAATTATTTAACATTTAAAAATATAGCTCCAAAGACTGGCGAGATATTAATATCTATGCTATTAAACTTAATTAAACCTTTGTTCACAGAATGCTATGAATATCTATGGGAAATAAGAAAACGTGAATATCATTTCAAACAAATCGATAAATGTACGTATACACGAAAAACATAGTTATTTATCAAAAGAAATATGGATAATGTGATAAATCTTCTTTATCCTGCGTTGGTATCCTTTAACATGTGAATTATGTTGTTAACGGTCATTCCTCCTTTAGAACCAACATACATATCTGGCACAATAATAAGTGGGTTTTATCTTGTAAAAGCCTACGACCCCTCGCACTCAAGCCAATGGATTAGCAACTGCACCACTGTGCTGAGACCGAATGTCTCCGTTACAGTCAATTTTTTTTTATTTGAGACGGTGGCGAGCGAACTGGCGGTTCATCAGATGTTAAATGATAACCGCCGCCCATTGATGTTTGCAACACCCGTAGGGCTACGAATGCATTGCCACCTTTCAATAAAGTCGGCCCCGGCTATCTCACTCACCAGACGAAATGCAAAAAACACTTTCACTGCACGGCAGTCTTCTGTGTGGTACTCGTACTTACCCGGATGGACCTGTCCATTCGTGCAACAGTCTATTTACCTATCACTCATCACATCTTTCATAGAACTCAACAGAAAACTTTTCACATATTGCAGGCCCGAAATACAGATTAAAAAAGCCGAATTTCAAACATTCAGCTGTCGGTGGAAGAAAAACAGAACCCGGTGAATTCCCACATATGGTAAATAAACATAATTTTCATGAATATAGAAAATTGTTTCGGATCTGGGTGTTTGTCCACGTGAAATTTATGTTTGTTAAACGCTCTAACAACACACGATAATTGTATGCTACAGTAAGGGCAACGTTTACACACCAAACAAAAAAAAAATTGTTTACTTCCATGTAAGGTGCTGACCTCTCTTTATTCTCTTTCTTCTTAACTCTCTATTTACTTCTCCCTATTACGGTACTACTCCTATTTGTTATTATAATAAAAAACACGGTTAGATAACTGGACTTTTGAACATTATAATTAAGTAAATAAATATCAATTTTCTACATTATTTGCTTGCCTTTCTCAGGGAGCTGTAGGCTGGAGAGCAATTAAAGGCACATGGATATTTAAGTGCGGCAGTTCGTTGATAAGTTCTAAATTCCTGCTCACGGCAGCTCATTGCTCCAGAGCGTCGCCAAGAGAACCTAATATAGCGAACACTACACCGGAGATAGTGCGATTGGGCGACAAAAACATTATTGATGTGGTGAGTGAACTTAAATCCTTACTAATATTATAAACGCGAAAGTTTGTATGTAGGTATGGATGTTTGTTATTATTTCACGCAAATACTTAATGGATTTTAATGAAACTTTCCAATAATATAGCTTATACATGAGAATAAAACATAGGCTATAATTTATATACATATTTTTATGTATAATCTCTCTGTATGTTACGCCATCAGCCTATTCTTCGCAGACGTAGTCGCGGGCAGCAGTTAGTATCCTTATACAAGCCATCGAGTGAAAATATTAATTCTAAGATAGTAAATTCTTTTTTTATTATGTCAGATTTGAAAAAAAAAACTCAGTTAAAATTAATTTATATACATGACCAATCAGCACAGAAAAAGCGTTAAGGGTTAAAGTAAAACAAGGGATGTCGAATATTGTACCAAATCTCATTTTTTGTACAATAGCTATTATGAAAAGACTTGCAAACGTTTCGCGTTTTTTTTAAGGTCGCCAATGGGCTCCCACCACTGGATGCTAAAATACAGAGAATCATTGTTCACCCACGATATGCCGCTCCGAAAAAGTACTTCGACATAGCAATCATTGAATTACAGAGAGATGTGATTTTTAATATGTACGTACAACCCGCTTGTCTCTGGATCAAATCTGATACCAGTCCCCTAGGAAGCAAAGCCACATTAACCGGATGGGGAGTTATAGAAACTGGTAAGTAAATAAAGACAATAAGTGTTCATTTTGCAAGTTTCCTATGAGATCTTTGAATTTACTCATTTAAACTAAAGCTAAAATTTTCATAAGGCAGAAGCTATTTATTTGTCCAATTTATAACGGGACAAGTGAAAAAAATTATTAAAATGTATGTTTATATATTAATAGGCCTAAGTAATGCATCTAAAATATTTTAGCGACCTTAGAAACGTCTCCGGAACTTCAAGCTGCGGAGGTGGAAATATTGGGTTCGAATGTATGCGACGATTTATTGAAGTCCTCTTGCAATCGATTGTGGTGTGGTCTGTCCGAGAATCAACTTTGCGCTGGCAAATTATCTGGTGGAGTTGATGCGTGTCAGGTAAGCTCTGAGTCAGCATATTTTTATAGGTATATTCTAAATACTGTTATTAATATAGGCAATTTGAATTGAAATTTCACTTATTAATATGTTTAATGTATTGGTACTCGTAAAATGTCCAATTTTATTGTCTATATCCTGTATGTTCCCTTTATCTTCTTTCTCTGAATTTCCTTGTGTGCAATAAAGTATATTCTATTCTATTCTATTTTGTCTAATCTAGTGTCTTATAATATTCTTTTCTCACAAAAATTGCATAAAAGTAAGGTCAAAGATTTTTAAGTTCCTTCGTTATAATACATCATTTCTATTAATAGCATAAAGGCTTGGCCTGACTTCGACATCAAATTTCGATTCCACGATCTTTAAATTTGCGAATTTGGATCCTGCTAGAGCAGAGTGTTTTGTCTGGCAGAATTCTCATGTGCAATAATCACTGTTTCATTTCTGTTTCCGGCGACAAATCTGTCACTTTAGGGATTAAGAGTCCTAGGTGAAATCTTTGTACCGTTAGGTTCAGGTCACAGTTGAATAAAGATTAACATTTACATTAACATACATTTTTCAAGGGTGATTCCGGGGGACCGTTGCAAGTGAAGATACAATTACCGTCCAACAGCCAAGGGTCCATTCACTACTTAATAGGAGTTACGTCATTTGGTGTAGGGTGTGGTCGCGCAAACACACCAGGTGTCTACACTCGCGTATCAAGCTTCATAGACTGGATCGAGGACGTTGTGTGGCGTGGACAAAATACTAGTAGTACTCGCAAATGATTTCAAAGTATTAACCGTAAAATATATACTTCCTAATTAAAAAAACAAATAAATAGTTTTGAATATACTCCGTAGCGATCAAAAACATTTTTAATTTTGATCCGAGTCAATTTATTTAAACTGGCTAATGATAACTGGAAAATGTATATGATTGATTGAATTGGATTTGGGCGAAAGAATATTAGTAATAATTTAATAAAACACTTAAAAACTTACTTTAGCGTTTGATTTTCACGCATATTCTTATGTAAGTATTATATTCGTAATAATTAAAACAATAATTAAATTATTAAAGCAAATTAATAATTTAATTATTGTTTTATATACATTTAAATATTTAAAACAATTATGTGCCAAGTACATAGCTCACACTAAAAGATTCCGGAACTGGCCACTTACATAAACAATATTTAAAAAGTAATTACAACATTTGGAAATGGAGCTCTTTGGCTGTAGTATGCAGTTTGTTTCATCTAACTGTCAATTGTTTTTACATTGTGGTGCCAAAAAAAAACAAATTGACAAAAAAACAGGCTTCAAAAAGCTCTGTTAGAACTAAAAAGTTTCAAATAATACTAAATTTAACGTAATCAAATCTTTAAAATCTAACCTATATAACATAACTAGGTAGGTTATGTTATACTTTCAACAAAATTTAACAATAAAGTCGGTGTCAAGCCAAGTATATCTGATCTCCCTATAAAATCAATCTCTTAACTAACTTACACAGTTTAGGTTATATATTTGTATTTATTGGATAACCGCAGTATTCATTGTTGCTTAGCTTCTTTCTATTTTTTTAGCAAGGTGTTATGTTGTGGTGGATGCCACACAATTTGAATGGTGAATATTTTGAGAAACAACTTTGAACTTTAATATTATTATTTTCTTATTAATTTCGGAAACTTTTTGTGTGATTCACGTATTGTTTTATAGATAAGTCTAGAAAGCATTTATTTATCTGATACCTGTAAGAGCCACAGGATAATTATTTTAACAACGAGTTAAATAGGTTGATATACATTGGCCAAGAAATTAAAAAGAATCGTTCATACGTATAAGTAAGAAACGTTTCTTTTGAATAAAATAAATTAGATGAAACATTATTGTTAAAAGTATCTACATTTTATAATTAAAACGTTTGACTCATCACAAATGTGTTTCTCGATTCAGGCATCATATTAGCACAATTGGTTTTTTGGCAAGTATAACTAAACTCCCATTTTTCATCCCGTTCATATGGGACCGCTTGAGTGATTTTATAGATCTAATATCTAATATAATGGCGGATTTTCGATTGAAGGATACTTCTTGTAATATCGCTTAGACTTGTCCTTTTTTTTGTTCATGGTTAAAATACGTGATTGAAGTTTCGAATCACTCATCCGGTTTGTCCTCTTTTGATACCTTCAGCTAATCAGGCTAGAAAAAACTGATTGCGTTTGTATGTGTTTTATTGTAAAAGCACCGGGCCGGAAAAAAGATGCTAAGTCAAAAATCGAAAGTATAATTTATTCAATGCACGTTGATCGCCTGTGAGGTGGCGGTACTTCCTCGGAGGAGTCTGGCGATTCGTGCAACAGCAAACCCTGCTGCGGAACACTATCAGAATCGAAAGATCCATAACGGTGATCGATGTCAGTGGCCATGGTGACCCATTGTGCCTACAACATACCATAAAAGAACAGAACCATAGGGAAATACGATAAAATTTCTTTGGAAGAGGCCAAAGTCATTACAATTTTCTGTCGTCAATTGCATCAAATTATCAACCGTATGCTTACGCGACCAAATCGACCAATCGCAAATTCGTCCATGTAACATCTACAACGACCCGGACTAAAAAGGGGGCGGAATTACTGTGGATCTACTGGGGGCTTGACACAATAACAGAAATATATAGCGTTAGCTTTTTGCATACAATAGTATTTGGTATCGGGGCGAAATCTTCGAAAGATACCCTGTCACCTTACATGACGTGGGGTTCTTATCCACTAAAACCCCCTCGGTGGCCATCTTATGTACATTTGGAGTGACTCCGGGATCTCCCATGGAACGCACCGGTGTCCCTCGGTTCTACGCCTGAGCACGCCTCGGAGAAGGATAAAACTTCTCCGATTCCCTCACCCTCTTACAGCAGCATGAGACCACTCCGTGTCCCCTTTTAGTCGCCTTTTACGACAGGCGGGGGATACCTTAGCCCTATTCTATGAGCCCGGGACTACAGGGCTGTGGTCTTAGCCTACGAGCAGGACACTTCGGGACAGTTTTCACTGCTCCCATCCAATGAATAATAAAGTCGACGGCTACCGATGTTATCATATACAACTTGCCTTATATAAAACCTCGGCGCCCTGTGACCTACAATTCCATCATTACCTTCAATGAATGCTTATTCTTCAAGATCGTTAAATACTGAAGCAAGTTACACTCGTTGTAAGCTAGCGATCAAAGTCCAACCATCAAACATAACAAGTCAAATAAAAACACGAAAAAACACACAAGGAAAAAATACAACATGAGAGACATTTAACGGTAGGGCCACGCGGCAGCCTCGGCTGTTGCACGAATGGGCAGGCTCGTTCGGTTAAGTACCACGACCTCACAGAAGACCGGCGTAAAGTGGAAGTATAATACTTTCGCGTTTCGTCTGACGAGTGAGGTAGCCGGAGCCCAATTTTCAAAAGGTTGCCAACGCATCTGGAACTCTCGGGTGTAGCAGATGTCCATGGGCGGCGGTATTCACTTAACATCAGGTGAACCGTTTGTTCGCTTGGCAACATTTCACATAAAAAAAAGAGAGTTTCAATCAATCAAAAATAAGCAATCGTTTAAAATTAACTATTATCAATTGTTAATTTTTCATAGTTTAATTAGTTTTAGAATTATTGTTGAATTGTCCATATAACAGGTTTAGAACCACTTAAAAATTTTCCTTATGAACCCGTAGAATGGACAACAAGATGCCTACAAGAATATAAATTAAAGTTAGATTAGTCGACGACTGTGTTCTGTAGTGTCATCACGCAGGCTGTACAACTACTTTAAAAATTATTGCAGAATAAGTGATGATTTTAGAAGCACAATGATGAGCTTGAGACGATTCTTTTTTTTATTCTTAACAGGTGAGTGATCATTTTCATTTGCAGCCAATTATTTTGACCTAATTATATTAAAAAAAAATCCATGAATTAAGGCGATGGAGCCATAGTAAAAATACTGCTCAATTTATAGTATCTTTTGTTTACTTTTCGTTTAGTTGTAATAATTTTAATAATTCCTTATTCTTAATTTGTCTCAAATTTGTCTCATTGTTTGTGAATTCCTCAAATTTGTCTCAAATTGTGTCTCATATATTAATTTAATTGACGTAATTTTTTTCTATTTTTTGTTCATTTACTTTTATGCCTTAAATATATGATCGACTTCAAAATATATTATAAGATTATAATTATATTGTTCAGTTTATACGACACATTCAGTTTTTGCTGATAGCTGGGATACATCGAGAGCGGTGGATTATTTAAGTCAGAAACAGGTTAGCAATTTACAACATTAATGTTTGGATTAAAATATCTTCAAAACTACTATTTACGACGCATACAATTCTGACATAATTATATGCGTCATGTATTATAAGTGTATAACAGTCATAGAAAAGTGTATAACAGTCATAGAAAAACATTTAACAACCTAATATCCGTGTCATGTGTTACGTCATAGAAATTGTAAATAATTTACAACCGAAATTAAGCAAACTAAGTCGCCAACTATTCATAATTTGTAAACAGTAATATAATATGTACATATAGCTCCATGTCACTTTTATGAAAATCACTAACAGCTAACTATTTTTTTCAGGAATATACCTCTACGTTCTTCAACTGGAACTATTTTAATGTTAGTAGCAAAAACTGATTTTGTATACTACGTATTGATAATATTACATGTCAATTCTATGAAAACATACAGTTTGTCTCCGTAAAAATATCCGGTTTTAAATGCTTCATACTTTTTACAGCAATATCATACTTCTTCGAACTTCAATTTCAACAATTTTAATGTGAGTAGTAAAGTACTTCTTCAAAATTATGTTAAGATTTAAAATGCTTACATATCACTTTCATGAAAAAACTTATACATGTACCACATACTCAGTCCCCACTTTAAAAATACATTCAACTGATGATCCTTGTAGCTCAATATTTCATTCAGCAGTATCCTACCTATGTGTTCGTTGACTGGTACAATTTTAAACACAGTAGCAAATAACTTATTCATAATTACGTCTTTAATATATCTCTATTAAACTGACATATCACTGTCACGAAAACAAGTAGTCAGTTTCCGTTTTAACTATTTATCGGCTCTTAAAAGCTCAATGATTTTTAGTAATATCCTACCTCTGCGCACGCCGATAAGTACAATTTGGATATAAATAATATATAACATATCAAGCTCACCAGCTTTTTTTTTTTTATTTTTTATATGAAAAGTTGCCAAACGAGCAGATGGTTCACCTGATGTTAAGTGAATACCACCGCCCATAGATATCTGCTACACCCGAGGGTTTGCAGATGCGTTGACAACCTTTTTGGAAATTGGGCTCCGGCTACCTCACTCACCAGACGAAACGCGAAAGTATTTGTCATACTTCCACTTTACGCCGGTCTTCTGTGAGGTCGTGGTACTTACCCGGACGAGCCTGCCCATTCGTGCAACAGCCGAGGCTGCTACGTGGCTCTACCACCGTTGAGCATATTATACCGTTGAAGCTATTATATTATCCCTATTTAATAAGTACATGTCAGTGCCATTAAATAGTTTATAATATAAATATACATTAAAACAATGATTACATCTTTTTTTCAAATAGCTGTCTCTTATAGCGAAATATTTATATTTATATACGAATATTTTTACTAAACATTTTTTCAGCAATATTTTATGTAGCAAATTGCTTCTTCACATTGACTATACCCTTAACAGCAGTAACTAACATATAGGTCAATTTCATGAAAATATATATAGGTACACAGTGTCCGTTTTTAATACCTGCTCAATGTTTATTCCAGCAACATCCAACCTCTGCATCTGTCCGTTGGAACAATTTGAATGTAAGTAGCAAACAACTTGTTTATGATGGCTTTTTAACTCTCATTAAAATATAAATATGTCAATGCCATTAAAAGAAACAAACAGTAAAGAATATAGTTAATTTCTATTTGAAGTATATATCCACTTATAGCGAAATTACTTTTTCAGCAATATCCTTACTCTGCATCCGTCAATAGGAACAATTTTGATGTGAGTAGCAATTTGCCATCACTTTCATGAAAATAAATATTCAGTCTCCGTTTTAAGTATCTGCTCGTAACAGCTCAATACTATTTCAGCAACATCTTACCTCTGAGTTTGCTGATAGGATCAATTTCAATGTAAGTAATTGTCTCGATTATTCTTGTATTTAGCTGAAACAATGCTGTGTCACCTAATAAGGTACATACATCAGATTTTTTTTTTTTTGTAATCTTATTGTTTAAACGTGAAATGCATGTACTGCGTGTGTCCTTTAAATAAATAAATAAAATAAGTAGCAAATAACTTGTAGGCGATTATTTTTGAAGTTATAATTCTTTTCGCTCGTTTGGAAAAATTATAAGGTAAAATTTTTATGATGTGCGCACATACCGACCCTCAAAATGCGCAATGATGCTTGTTAACCAATTTAATCTATGCAATCAATAACTTTTGAACATTTACCAAGGAAGAACATTTAGCAAGTTACTTGAATAAACCACAATCAATTGCATTTTTATGTCTTCACGCTAAAGAAATATAGTTTCATACGTGCGTACAAAAATACACACACATACACATTTTTTTTATCTCTTCATCAAAATATTTGCCAATGCCATTAAAAGAAAAAAAACAGTTAAGCAATATCTGTATATCCACTTATAGCAAAATTATTTTTTCAGCAACATCCTAACTCTGCATCCGTCAATAGGAACAATTTTAATGTGAGTAGCAAAATACTTGTTCCTATTTTTTTCTTTTCTATGTCTTCTTGTAACTTGCATATCACTTTCATGAAAATAAACATTCAGTCTCCGTTTTAAATATCTCCTCGTGTCGTACGTTATGGCATAAAATGCATCTTTCGAAGCTGCCTTCCTATAGGCTTAGTATAGGATCAACATCTTTATCGCAGATCGGGGCATCAAGGTCGTTGATGGTGCATGCTCTGATCCTAAATTTGTCAATGCTGGTGTTCCACAAGGCTTCGTACTGTCTCCTACTCTGTTTCTTCTGCATGGCAATGTCATGTTGCAAATTGGTAACGTTCATTGCTATGAAGATGATAGTATTGTGGATGTCTCGTACACTGGTGTTGCTAGCATTTCTCGCGAAAAGCGAACAAGTTTATGTCTGAAGCCGAGACTTTGTCAACTAAAGTCTCAGACTGTGGTCGAGTAAACTTAGACCAATTCAATCGCAAATTTGCGCCTTTTCCGCAAAAAAGCCCCCATTTTTCGTAACTTCTCATTTTGAGAACACACCCCTGTCTGCCACATCCGCGTTGAAATCTCGAACAATGTCCTGTTCCGCGGTCAATTGAAAGGTAAGGCCAAATTGGCCTCAAAGAAGCATGGTGTGCTCAGCAAGAAACAGTACTTCACGTCGACTCAACGCCTAAATCTTTACTTACTTTAATCGGCCCCATATATAGTACTGGTCTCATCTCTGTGCGAAAGCCCCCTATTACCAGCTTCTTCTATTTGTCCGCAATCAACATAGGGCAGTTAGGGTTATCGACGATCAATGCCTTTTCGATCGGCTTGATCCTTTGACTCTGCGTAGAGATGTTTGATCACTCTGCATCTTTTATCGCATTTATTACGAGGAATTGTTTGGATTGATCCCGGCGGCTGACTTTCACCGTAAGACATTCCGCCGAAACCAAAATTTTCATTCCAATTACCTCTATATCCAGCGTTCTACAACAGCGTGATTTTCAAGGCATTTCCTGCCTCGCAAAACCACTTGTAGAACCAGCTTCCGCCGACGGTCTTTCCGAACCATTATGACCGGGGAACATTCAACAAGAGAGCATACTCTTTCCTAAAATGCCGGCAATGCATATTTAATCCCTCTGGTTTTGCAGTTATTTTTTTCCATAAAAAAATAACAGCAAAATATTTTTTTTTTTTTTTGTTCCATAAAAAACAACAGCAAAATGTTTTTAAAGTAACATCTTACCTATGCGTTTGTCGATAGGAAGAAGGAATTTTAATGTCAATAGCAATAGTTTGTTTGGGATTGAATTTTATGTTATCTCTTGATTAAATATATGTCAGTGCATTTAAAAGAAACAAATGATAAAGGTATATAGTCAATTTCTACTTCAAATATCTGCTCCATATAGCGAAATTACTTTTTCAGCAGTATCCTAACTCTACATCCGTCAATAGGAAAAATTTTAACGTAGTAGCAAATTGCTTGTTTATATTCACTTTTTATTATATCTTCTTGTACCTTACATATCACTGTCATAATAATATATATACAATCCCCGTTTGAAATACCTGCTTGTAACAATTCAATGTTTTTCCAGCAACATCCAAACTCTGCGTTTATCAACAGAAACAATTTAAATGTAAGTAGCAAATAATTTGTTGAGGATTGATTTTTATGTTATGTCTTCATTGAATATATGTCAATGCCATTAAAAGAAACAAATGGTAAAGCATATAGTCAATCTCTGTTTCAAATTTCTTCTCCTTAAAGCAAAAATTTTTTCAGCAATATCCTAACTCTGCATCCGTCAATAGGAACTATTTTAATGTGAGTATCAAATTGCTTGTTCACATTTAATTATTTATATCTCTTCTTAAATCTTACATATATCTTAATAGCTCAATATTTAAGCTTTTATATCTTATTGTAACTTACATATCACTTCCATGAAAATAAATATCCAGTCTACGTTTTAAGTGTTTGCTCGTAACACCTGGATAATTTTTTCAGTAACATATTACCTCTGCATTTGTCGATAGGAACAATTTGAAAGAAACTATCAGATTACTTATTTATGGTTTTTTTCTATCTTATATCTTCATTAAAACCTATGTCAAAACCATTAAAATAAATAAACAGTAAAGCAATGTCGTCAATTTCTGTTTCGAATATCTGCTCCTTATAGTGAAATTATTTTTTCAGCAATATCCTAACTCTGCATCCGTCAATAGGAACAATTTTGATGTGAGTAGCAATTTGCCATCACTTTCATGAAAATAAATATTCAGTCTCCGTTTTAAGTATCTGCTCGTAACAGCTCAATACTATTTCAGCAACATCTTACCTCTGAGTTTGCTGATAGGATCAATTTCAATGTAAGTAATTGTCTCGATTATTCTTGTATTTAGCTGAAACAATGCTGTGTCACCTAATAAGGTACATACATCAGAATTTTTTTTTTGTAATCTTATTGTTTAAACGTGAAATGCATGTACTGCGTGTGTCCTTTAAATAAATAAATAAAATAAGTAGCAAATAACTTGTAGGCGATTATTTTAGAAGTTATAAATCTTTTCGCTCGTTTGGAAAAATTATAAGGTAAAATTTTTATGATGTGCGCACATACCGACCCTCAAAATGCGCAATGATGCTTGTTAACCAATTTAATCTATGCAATCAATAACTTTTGAACATTTACCAAGGAAGAACATTTAGCAAGTTACTTGAATAAACCACAATCAATTGCATTTTTATGTCTTCACGCTAAAGAAATATAGTTTCATACGTGCGTACAAAAATACACACACATTTTTTTTATCTCTTCATCAAAATAATTGCCAATGCAATTAAAAGAAAAAAAACAGTTAAGCAATATCTGTATATCCACTTATGGCAAAATTATTTTTTCAGCAACATCCTAACTCTGCATCCGTCAATAGGAACAATTTTAATGTGAGTAGCAAAATACTTGTTCCTATTTTTTTCTTTTCTATGTCTTCTTGTAACTTGCATATCACTTTCATGAAAATAAACATTCAGTCTCCGTTTTAAATATCTCCTCGTGTCGTACGATATGGCATAAAATGCATCTTTCGAAGCTGCCTTCCTATAGGCTTAGTATAGGATCAACATCTTTATCGCAGATCGGGGCATCAAGGTCGTTGATGGTGCATGCTCTGATCCTAAATTTGTCAATGCTGGTGTTCCACAAGGCTTCGTACTGTCTCCTACTCTGTTTCTTCTGCATGGCAATGTTATGTTGCAAATCGGTAACGTTCATTGCTATGAAGATGATAGTATTGTGGATGTCTCGTACACTGGTGTTGCTAGCATTTCTCGCGAAAAGCGAACAAGCTTATGTCTGAAGCCGAGACTTTGTCAACTAAAGTCTCAGACTGTGGTCGAGTAAACTTAGACCAATTCAATCGCAAGTTTGCGCCTTTTCCGCTAAAAAGCCCCTATTTTTCGTAACTTCTCATTTTGAGAACACACCCCTGTCTGCCACATCCGCGTTGAAATCTCGAACAATGTCCTGTTCCGCGGTCAATTGAAAGGTAAGGCCAAATTGGCCTCAAAGAAGCATGGTGTCCTCAGCAAGAAACAGTACTTCACGTCGACTCAACGCCTAAATCTTTACTTACTTTAATCGGCCCCATATATAGTACTGGTCTCATCTCTGTGCGAAAGCCCCCTATTACCAGCTTCTTCTATTTGTCCGCAATCAACATAGGGCAGTTAGGGTTATCGACGATCAATGCCTTTTCGATCGGCTTGATCCTTTGACTCTGCGTAGAGATGTTTGATCACTCTGCATCTTTTATCGCATTTATTACGAGGAATTGTTTGGATTGATCCCGGCGGCTGACTTTCACCGTAAGACATTCCGCCGAAACCAAAATTTTCATTCCAATTACCTCTATATCCAGCGTTCTACAACAGCGTGATTTTCACGGCATTTCCTGCCTCGCAAAACCACTTGTAGAACCAGCTTCCGCCGACGGTCTTTCCGAACCATTATGACCGGGGAACATTCAACAAGAGAGCATACTCTTTCCTAAAATGCCGGCAATGCATATTTAATCCCTCTGGTTTTGCAGTTTTTTCCATAAAAAATAACAGCAAAATATTTTTTCCATAAAAAACAACAGCAAAATGTTTTTAAAGTAACATCTTACCTATGCGTTTGTCGATAGGAAGAAGGAATTTTAATGTCAATAGCAATAGTTTGTTTGGGATTGAATTTTATGTTATCTCTTGATTAAATATATGTCAGTGCATTTAAAAGAAACAAATGATAAAGGTATATAGTCAATTTCTACTTCAAATATCTGCTCCATATAGCGAAATTACTTTTTCAGCAGTATCCTAACTCTACATCCGTCAATAGGAAAAATTTTAACGTAGTAGCAAATTGCTTGTTTATATTCACTTTTTATTATATCTTCTTGTACCTTACATATCACTGTCATAATAATATATATACAATCCCCGTTTGAAATACCTGCTTGTAACAATTCAATGTTTTTCCAGCAACATCCAAACTCTGCGTTTATCAACAGAAACAATTTAAATGTAAGTAGCAAATAATTTGTTGAGGATTGATTTTTATGTTATGTCTTCATTGAATATATGTCAATGCCATTAAAAGAAACAAATGGTAAAGCAATATAGTCAATCTCTGTTTCAAATTTCTTCTCCTTAAAGCAAAAATTTTTTCAGCAATATCCTAACTCTGCATCCGTCAATAGGAACTATTTTAATGTGAGTATCAAATTGCTTGTTCACATTTAATTATTTATATATCTTCTTAAATCTTACATATATCTTAATGGCTCAATATTTAAGCTTTTATATCTTATTGTAACTTACATATCACTTCCATGAAAATAAATATCCAGTCTACGTTTTAAGTGTTTGCTCGTAACACCTGGATAATTTTTTCAGTAACATATTACCTCTGCATTTGTCGATAGGAACAATTTGAAAGAAACTATCAGATTACTTATTTATGGTTTTTTCTATCTTATATCTTCATTAAAACCTATGTCAATACCATTAAAATAAATAAACAGTAAAGCAATGTCGTCAATTTCTGTTTCGAATATCTGCTCCTTATAGTGAAATTATTTTTTCAGCCATATCCGAACTCTGTATCCGTCAATAGGAACAATTTTAATGTGAGTATCAAATCACTTGTTTATATTTACTTTTTTAAATGTTTATTTTTGTTACACAAAAATCACTTTCATAAAAATCAATGTTCAATCTCCGTTTTAAATACGTGCTCGTAACAGCTCAATGTTCTTTTCAGCAAAATACAGCCTCTGCATTCATCGATAGGAATAATGTGAATGTAAGTAGCAAATAATGATATATACTTAATTTGATTAAACAAAACAATAAGTAAAGCAATGTAATCAATGTATGTATCAAATCAATGGAAAAAATTTTTCAGCCAAATCCTATCTCTGCGTCCGTCAATAGGAACAATGTTAAGGTGAGTGGCAAATTACTATACTACCACTGTTCACAATTTATTTTTATTAGCTGTTTATAAATTTCTCTTTCACTATAATAATATACTCAGTTTTTCTTTTAAGCATTCCCTCGAAATTAGCCACGCAACAGTGTTCGCTGTTGTACGAATGGTAGGTCCGTCCGGGTAAGTACCACGACCTCATAGAAGACCGGCGTAAAGAAGAAGTGTTACACTTCTGCGTTTCGTCTGGTGAGTGAGGTGGCCGGTGCCCACTTTATTTAAAGATGGAAACGCATTTGAAACCCTACGGGTGTTGCAAATGTCCATGGGCGGCGGTTATCGCTTAACATCAGGTGAACCGCCAGCTTATTTGTCACTTTCTCACATAAAAAGCTCAATATTTTATTCAGGATTATCTTACCTCTGCATTCGTGGATAGGAACAATGTTAGTAGAAAATGACTTGATGAGGATTGCTTTTTAATAATTATACATCCATTAAAATACGGAATCTGCTACCGTTTTAAATGCCACCTCTTAACAGCTCAATTTTTTTTCAGCAAAATCCATCCATCCCGCCGGCCTTAAGTAGTATTTCAAATGTAAGTACAAATATCGTGCTAACGATTTCTGATTAAAGAATTTCTTTATAAACATTTAATTTTCGACTGAAAACTGTTTAGTTGGTGTTTTGTAAAACATTTAATCAAAAATTCAATATAAACTTAACGTATTGAAATTTACAGAAAATACTCAATTCAATTCAACTTTTTATGTTACCGCCCATAAAAGAGGATCAGCGAATAAATCCGAATGTAAAAATAATAACAAGCGATATCTAATTGTAGGATAGATCCATGAAACAACAGCTATCGAAAGAGGGTGCATCGATTTCTGATTCTGATGATGATCCCTGTAATTATAAAGATTTGGCAAAGCCAAATTTCAACACACCTGGACGAAGAATTAGCGAGTCGAGTAAGTCTCACCAATTAGCTTAACAAAAGTCAAAAAGTCATGTTAAAAATGTGAAGATATTTGAATAATTATTTTGACTACTATAACTGTTGAATTAAATCATTTTTACGAAATCCAATAAAATTTGTAAAAGAATATCGTTTTTTAAAAATCATTTATGAATAAATATACAATGTAAACCATATTTGAATAATCTTAACATGAAAACGAAAGTTTATTCATTCGCCATTCAAACTGTAATAAGCTCATTATATCCGAAACTAATGAAATTGCATGCAATTTATAGTTAAAACGCTTTGTTACGTTATTGACTAAAATAATTTGATGACTCCGTGGCACAGTTGCCAAGGTATTGGCTTCGACGTCGGGGGTCGTGGGTTCGATTCCCACACGGGACAACTATTTGTGTGACCCACAGGTAGTTGTTTCGTATCTGGATGTTTGTCCGCGTGAAATTTATGTTTGTAAAACGTCCTTACAACACAGGATAATGTTATCCTAAAGTAAGGGCAATGTTTTAAAAAAAAAAATAAAAAAAATGTAAAATAATATAGATAAGTATCAACTAAATATTTAATTATAGCACTAAAATATTAGAATGAATTAAAATGTGCTTTTATCAACAGAATGCTATGAATATGTTTGGGAAATACAAAACCGTCTATATAAATCTAAAAGACTAGATGCATGTAAGTATACATTAAAAAAATTTACCTTAAGTTAACGTCAAAAAATACTTATGTTATGTTCATTTATAATAATAGAGACACTGATGCACCAAACTAGCCATTGCCAGTTTCAAAGATTCTAAAATTTATAATTTGGCATGAGGGTTAATAAGAGCATTTATAGATAACAATTTAAAAAGTGAACATATATTAACATTGTACTATAATTATTTTATTGAAAAAAGTGTTAAGAATATTTCTCTTATACGTTTTACAGGCATAGCTCAAGAAAACGCAAAACCTAATGGGAGAAGGTTTGTAATATCTGGACGAAATTCGAAAGACGGCGAATTTCCCCACATGGTAAACAAAGAAGAGCCTTTTTTATAAATGAAAATAACAGTTTGTTAAGGACGTGATAGCTCAGTGTCTGGGCGTTCACCTTTAATACAATATACTCGAGCAACCTAAGTTTGATCCCCGGTGCCGGCAGCAATGAAATTGCTAATTTTAAGTGCCGACTTATGACGTGCTCAGCGGTGAAGGAAAACATCGTAAAGAAACCTGCAACCTGAATTTTCGAAATAATTACAAAAAAAATTTCGAATATATGTGAAGTCCGCCAATCCGTACCGGGGCCACGTGGTGGACTATGCCATGATTCCTTCTGTACAGAGGAGGCCTTTGGTTAGCCGTGGGACACATATAGGCTGTTACCTCATTAATACTTCAAATTAATGGACATCATTTCCCTAATTAAGTCATATTAATTCTATAGATAAATTGCAAATTACAATCTCTTTGATGCAATTTATTAAAAAAAAACGGCTATGACTTACTGAGCCATAAAAAAAGTGATGGTGATGTTTTTCATTAACGCAACTCGAATGTCATGATATCAGATAGGACCTTGATGTTCTTGTTTCTTAATAAGCCATCCCATCAATTTTTACTTTTGTTGTAAATTCTTAGGGAGCCGTAGGCTGGAGGGCAGTAAAAGGCACATGGATATTTTTATGCGGCAGTTCTTTGATAAGTTCAAAATTTATGCTCACTGCAGCTCATTGTTCCCAAGTATCGTCAAGGTATGCCGGGGTAGCGAACAGGAAACCGGAGATCGTACGATTGGGCGACATAAATATTATTGATGTGGTAAGAAAACATACTTTTTCATTCGATAACCCTCGATTAAAAATATAACGAGCACTGCAGTGCAATTTTTTCAGTATTTCTAAAAAAGGGGGACTTTACCACTGTCGATTACACGTTGGCTTGATGTTACGTGGTAGACATTTCCCACAATACAGATAACGTGGAATGATAACGTGAAAGGCGTTACTCTTAAAGTAATATATCCGTCTTCAATCAATACTCTTAGAAAATCTTCATTAGTCTTCGACAAAATAGCACTAAGTTTGTCGTTATATCTCACAATGTTTCAGGCCGTGAATGGGGAAAAGCCAATTGTTGCCAATATTACGAGAATTATCGTACATCCCCAATATGCTCCTCCAAAAAAGTACTTTGACATAGCCATTATACAACTCCAGAGAGATGTTTCTTTTAGTATAAACATATTACCCGCTTGCCTCTGGACCAACTTTGATACCAGATCTCTTGGGAGAAGAGCCACATTGACCGGATGGGGTGTAATAGAAACGGGTAAGTCAGTAAAGATTGCAAAATTTTAGTTGCAGTTGCAGTTATGCTGTTTTATCAAAGTAGAAGTATAATGTTTTCGTTCAAAGCTCTAGTGGTTACCCATTTGTTTTTGCCGGAATCAGCACGCTGTCTCTATTCTATACTGTTTATTGTTTAATCCTAGTATTCCAAGTTATTTAAGGGAAAACTTCAAGTTTCTTGGCCATAAGTGACCAGAAAGAGTTCTGCGATCCGCTGGAGAACTAATTTTAGTACCACATGCGTATAAAACTAAATATTACAAGAACTCCTTTACGGTCAAGGCCATCTGCTTGTGGAATGAACTTCCACAGCAAATTCGTCGTGCAAAGACGCTACACAAGTTTTAAAAAAACCGGCCAAGTGCGTGCTGAACTCGCACACGAAGGGTTCCGTACCTATTATTATCTATAAAAACAGCAAAAAAAAAAAAAAAAGTCATATGGGAGCCCCACTTAAATATTTTTATCCTGTTTTTTAAGTATTTGTTATAGCGGCAACAGAAGTACATCATCTGTGAATTGCAACTGTCTAACTATCACAGTTCACGAGACACAACCTGGTGACAGACGGACATACAGACAGACGAAAAGACAAACAGCTGTCCAAGGTTGTCTGGAAGAGATCGCTCTTTAGCGACAAGACCGCCTTATTGTACCTAACTTTTAAGACTAATTTAGACTTAGAGTAATTTATTTGGAACAAGAGCTTTATCTACTGCTATTGGAAATAATTCACATTTTAGCTCAAGTGCAAGCTATTTCAGTATCTTTACTAATCACTGTATATTATAAAGCCTATATTGTTTTGTATAACTACTTGTTGACGTCATACCAAAAATATCTATTAGCAAATAATTATCGAAAGAAAAGAAAATATATGACACATATTATAATAAATAGAAAATTTTGTATTGAATTAAATGTTCTAGCGACCCTAAAAACGTCTCCTGTACTACAAGCTGCAGAAATTAACATATTGAGCTCAGATGTATGCGATAGTTTACTTAAGCCTTCTTGCAATCGATTATGGTGTGGTATGTCGGAGAATCAAATGTGCGCAGGCAACTTAAGTGGTGGAGTTGATACGTGTCAGGTAAGCCAATTGGCTTATTTAATAGTTTAATGTAAAACAGTTTGAATCTTTACAGTTAACATGTCATAATAATTAACTGTGGAACTGCCGCGGTAAAGCTATTTATTGCATAGCGTTTTTTATCAAATTACGCAATTATAATTATTTATTTATTTTTTATTTTTACAGTATTTTTTTTTCTTTGATATTAATTAAAGTTACACTTTTTGAGCGTGGTGACCGATAAGAAAAACATTTTTTTTTTCTTTTATTGAATAAATGATAAGTTGCTATCGTTTAAAATATTTTCATTATCTTACAATACATGTAGGTTATTCAGGAATTTTTATCATACCATACCATATCATATCATACCATTTTTGTCATACCGTATACATACACGTTAAGCGAACGCTCGGCCGAGCTACGGCGGCGGTGTGGGGGATGTTAGGTTGTATTTTCGTTACGGAATTTCTTGATTCGGCCGCCGCGCTCAAAACCCGCGACGAAAGCTATGCAATAACTTAAAAATTACAACGTAAAATACGGATCTTTTTTGATTTACAGGGTGATTCCGGAGGGCCGTTACAAGTTAAGATACCTTTGCCTTATAAGGGTGTAGGATTGCTGTATTACATAATAGGAGTAACATCATTTGGCATTGGATGCGCTCGCGCCAACACTCCAGGGGTGTACACTCGAGTGTCGAGCTACATAGATTGGATAGAGAACGTTGTGTGGCGTAGTACGGCGTAAATTACTTCAAGCATACTTGCCTTCATATCAAATAATCATGTATACTTGACGGTCTGTGATTGAGTTTCAATAATTACAAACCAAAAATTGGATTATGACTTTGAGCGACAAGGTCATAGTCAAATATTTGCCTTTTTTTTCCCTTTACTAAAGTTTCAAATAGTGCACCAGTCTACTAATAAACATTGTTTAAAACACAATACGTTATTCACTTTTTCATGTATCCATTTACCAGGTTATGAATATGTGTATGTGTATTAGAGGAATCCTTTTTTTTCTTCGAATATATCTTTTTCAAAGAAAAAAACTATTCCTCTAATTTCATCATTCAATTAAATATTTTATCTTCGTTGTTATGTTTTAATAAGTTAATACCAAGTTATTTTACTTTAAAATATTATCAAATAAGTACGTTAGAATAAACAATCACAAATGTCACAATCCTTATTAATAACATTAGATGTTATTTTTGCAGTATTAAAAACGTTTCATATGTTTGGAACCATACCCATTTAATAAGACTAACCAGTAAGTTTTTGGTCATTAAGAAGAGTCATTTATTTATTGAAGGTCTTACAAAAAATCAAACTTTCTTCGCGCATCTTTGGCGAAAAGTAAACGAACTCCTATGTCATATGGTTCTAAACATGGAGGGAACAGCGATTGTGGATATTTAAACCATTGTCAATTTCAAATTATTATAATTTTTTTTAAAATAACATTAACAAAAATCTATGGTTTCTCAAAACAACTAGTTAGATTTGCGTAAAATACGAAACCATTACCACACGTTATTTTATACAGGTTTATTTTTTTTTTAAGTACATACTTTGGCATAATGTTAATTGAGCATTCCATAATTAAAAAAAAACATAAATATTTTATTTTGACAAGAAATAACCAGAAAAACATCAATTCAAACATTGTTTATCCCGTTAAGAGTGGTCACCCTATTGATGAGCGGTTAAGTAATTATGCATTCAGCGAAAAGCTTTAGTGCCCGAGAATAGGTAACTGTATCGATACGGTAAGGCAAGAATTTCTTAAGGTGTCCATAATCTTTGAAAAAATAAAAAATAATCTTTAAAAATATGTGGTCACAAGTGCGTACCAGATTCAGATTTAGAATCAAATTCTGCATATGCCCTGTTAATATGTCCGTCGTCTGTAAAATCACCCTGTATAGTAAAAAAACGTGCACTCCAAAGATAAAATCCTTTCTTTTTTTTAAAACATTGCATTTACAAGTTTTGGAACAAAAACACGCATTTATAACATAACCTTTGATTGACATCACATGATCTTTGTTTCTTTGTTGATTGATATAATATGTGATATTTGCGCTAAAGGTTATTTTGGTACCACAGAAGAGGAAAAAATAGGAAAACCCGACGAAGATAAATAATAATTTTCGGTACGTTTGCGTCATCATGTGTATTGTAATTTGTTTAAGACTTCAATTTTTATTTTCTTGATTTTGTTTATAAAAAATCATTTATTCTTTATTGTATTCGTGATACTAAATCATACATTTCATTGTTTGTATCTACTCGCCATTCTCGGCGTGTTTTAAACGTTAACAACACGTTTTGCATATAAATTCTACGTATACGCTATAATAGTTAATCGTAATAATATCTATGTTAATTATCTGCTTGCAGAATTCATATTTGAAACCATAAAAAGTTAAAAAAATTTGAGATTTTATTGTTAAGAAAAAAATTAACAATATTACTTATCTTCGTTATCATTTTCCCTATTTGCATACGAGTTGAATTAACTATTCAACGGTTCACAAAAAATTGCTCATGACAAAGAAACGTAATGGGGTCGTAATTTTATAATTTATCATCATCATCATTTCAGTCAGTTAGAGTCCGCTGCTAACAGGCCTCCCCCACAGACTGCCACGAATTACGATCCTGAGTAACCTGCATACATCGACTCCACACATTTTTACAGGTCGACACTACGTATAGTGGGGGTTTATTCCTACACTGCGATGGCTAGTACGAGGCCGCCACATCATCGTATCATTTGGAGGCTGCATAAAATGCTGACGCCGCAACCTCCTTAAAAACTACTTCGTGGTTTCTTGTCATACGTCATCGGGAACGGAATTCCAGAGTTGTGCAGACTATGTATAGAAATATACTAAAAAGCCAGTGTAATGTGGAAAAATAGTCATCTTGTTTTTAGTGAAAGTCCGAAGAAATTTATCTTCTGATAAGAAGCGATGAAGAAAGTTATTCGTTATTATTTCTTATCCAAATTATAATAAACAGCGCACTCGCTTGCTCCATGCTCGCACGCACCTCTTACCGTTACGAGTATGTGAATATTTCTACAAAGTTAAGGGATAAGCAAATCTGCTAAAGTGTCTGAGCCACTCACACCGAAATGAAATAACTTTTGCTTCAGTAAAAAAAACCGCACCGCTTCGTAGTCAACGCCTTAACATCTCACTATTATCGCTATTATGTATAATATAAAACAAATACTGGTTTTATACTCGATCTCACAATACGCGCGGCTTGATATTGAGAATCCGGTTATGTATGCGCATACAATACCTACGATCCTACCTCCAATCGAGTTATAAATATAACAGGAGCACTTACAAATATAAACGGGCGCCGTGAGCCATGGGTTCAATTCTTGGGATAAGTATATTTGAAACCATATAATCTAGAGCTGCAGTAACAAAAAAACAAAGATAACCGACATCGCTCAGAAGGTTAGTAAGCGGAAATGGCCATATAGCTCCTAGACCCGATAACCGTTGGGGAAGAAAGGTTCTCGGATGGCGACCACGTACTGGCGCCATCCCCCATTACATATATCTTTGAAAAACCTATTTTTACGGCACAAAGCGCCTTAAGGGTCAATTTGTAAAGTTCTTTCTTCTCTGAGTATAATATGCGTTCAGTGCAGGTACGTCGTTTTCATTTATAAACATCAACTAATTAATTTTTTTTACAAAGTAATCAGTTAATAATACAATATAAAACTGTATTACAAATTTTAATAAATTTTCACAAAAAAAATAATAAATTTAACATTTCACGCCCTCTTCAAAGGCCAGTGTAAATTGTTAAGTTTTTTTTAAAGATTTCAGACAGGGTATGCTCCGTGGTGCACACCACTGGTGGGAAGATAGCAAGAGAGCTGGCGGTTCATCTGATTTTAAGTGATTACCGCCGCCCACGGACATTTGCAACACCCGTAGAGTTGCAGAGCGTTGCCACCCTCTAATAAAGTGTACCCCGCCTACATCACTCGCCAAACGAATCGCAGGAGCATGACACATCCATTTCACGCTGATCTACTGTGAGGTCGTGGTAGTTACCCGGACGGACCTGCCCAGTCGTGCCGTAGCCGAAGCTGTTGCATGGCCCTACCACAACAAAATCAACAAAGGTAAGATCGTTACATACATATTGCCGCTTGACGCAAGTATACGATGACCACGTACGACCACGATTTTTCACAGTGGTAGAGCCACGCAACTGCCTCTGCTGTTGCACGAATGGGCAGGCTCCGGGTAAGTACCACGACCTCACAGAAGACCAGCGTAAAGTGGAAGTATGACAAATACTTTCGCGTTTCGTCTGGTGAGTGAGGTAGCCGGAGCCCAATTTCCAAAAAGGTTGTCAACGCATCTGCAAACCCTCGGGTGTAGCAGCTGTCTATGGGCGGCGGTATTCACTTAACATCAGGTGACCGTCTGCTCGTTAGGCAAGTTTTTACATAGAAAAAAAAATGTTGATTGCGAAGTTTCAGGGAAATCATTAAGCGACCATGCCGTTACGAATCGCTTATGCAATGTAATATAATACAGTTTTATGTATGGATCGGGATATTTGTTTAATAAGTATTTGATACCTTATTGTGATCAAATAGGTATCAAATATTTATAAAAGAATATATTATAATAAAAGAATATATAAGAATATATAGTATTTAAATTGATTAAATAAAATTATTTCTTCTTTTACAAAAGCTGGTACATAATAATTAGATTGTCGAAACACCTCTATATTTGATTATTTAATATGTGGATAAAACTCAGTCATTTTTGATAATGAACGTTAGTTATATGTCTCGAACACCAAATTAAGACGCACACTCAAACACTCAATGGTAATTTATAAAATGATCTTTTGCAAAATGAAAAGAAACTTACTGTGCTAATAGAACAAAGTATATATAATATGTATCTGTTCATTTTGTTTTAGTATTGAGCCTGCATCTATTAATACATAGTTCAAAGTTCAGGTCATAAGTTTAAAAACTTTTGAAAATATGTTAAATATGTCACTTAAATATGTTAAATATGTCATAATTAAAACTTATATTAAGTCATTTCTTTTTAATAAGTTACTTACACACATTCAGTGCATTTACAAATGAAAAATTTAAATTTTATTTGCCATTTTTTGTATCTTATTTTACAGATGGTACCTATTGAAAAACTAAAAGATACAATGATATTTTTTTCCTAATCATCTTCTATCAGTCACTTGTAACTTGTTTGTTCCTTGCGGAGAACCCCACACAGTGTTTTCAATCCATTCAAGGAAAGCCGACACTTTTGTGTAAACATACGGATATGAAGTTTCACCAAAGCTGAAAGATTTCAAGCCAATAAGATAATGCATTCTCCAATCGGTGTATTCCGGAATTACCACAGGTGCTTGCAATATGGTGCCGATGTCGTTCTGGAAAGTGGAAAAATAATATATTACCTATTAATTTATTGATTTCTTGTTACGCGAATATTATACGTATCAAATTAAACTATTCCACAGATTTTATCGAAGATATGTGATATCGGCAATTATAAATCAAAATTAAAATGAGCTAAGGTCCGTAAAATAGTTTCGTTTAATATACTTATCAATAAGTGCTACTTCACGACGAAACTCTTCTTGTGGATGAAGACATTTTGAGGGTAACTAACACCTTAAAAATCCGACTGAAAAACTCATATGCAAAAACCCGTTTTTCTATGAATTTATGTTTATACATTTTTTTATCGATTACTAACTGACTCTAGAGGATTTCTAGAGGAATCGGTACGCACGCATGTGTTTGACAGATTACAAAGACATAGTTGACAGGTACAGTTTGTATGGGAAAATGAAATTGTTGCTATTTCGATTTTCCGTGCAATTTTTCCATAGTTTCTCATCGTAAACTTGCCACAAATATTTCAAAACCAAAATTAGCCAAATCGTTACAGCCGTTCTCGAGTTTTAGCGGGACTAACGAACAACAATCCATTTTTATATATCGTTTATAAGATATGCAACTTCATTATATTAAAGCATATTTCATTGGTTTAACTTCTACGCGATGCTTCGTTGAAGTGAAAAAAAATCAACACATAACGTTGCAATTTTGAAATATCATACGGATATAAAGTTAGGTTGCCGAAGTATAATATTTATATAATGTTATAATAAAAATGAGTTTTACATTATATCTGTATAATTAATAACTCATTTTAATAATTTTAATTAGTCATACTTATAAATACGTGAAGCAAAAACTTTGCACACCTTTTTAAGAAAATTGCGCGGACGCAAGAGTATGAAATTTCCACACTTATAGTTTATATTGAGAAGGAGTGGAGAATGCTAATATTTTTTTGATTATGCATAAAAAAAACATTAAATTAATATAGAAAAAATTACACACACTACCATGTATTTGACACATACACGCATATACGAGTCTGTTCTTATACTTATATAAAAGACAAGTGCTCTTTTGTTTATGGTGTACTGTATTTGAGAATAGATTAATATTGTTCAAACTTATAACTTAAATTAATTTTGGTTGAATTTCGACAACACAGGGTCCACTAGTTTATACAAATGCCCTGACAATGAGCTACCACAAATATTATAATAATCCTTGTGTATCTTGTATTAACTGATGTTTTTGCTTTCAGTCCCGAGACTATTAAAGCTTCATCTGACGCAGAACCGGTGGGCTAGCCAGAACCCACGGGTTTGGGCCCTCCGATGTGGGTAGGGCCGTAATAATCCTTAACTGCCACCTGCCGTGTACTTTATTTATTTCCAGGTTCATCTGATGTTAAACGGAACAACAGTGTCATTGATAATGATTAGGTGTACATGGTTTCCCGTTACCTATCTCGTCAGAAGAAATACAAACATGTAAACAATCCTACTTCACGCCGATTTTATTATTATTTAGTTTTTTAATATTAATCTATGAAATAAAGTTAACCATTTTCAAAAGTATCAAATATCCATACAAAGTAATACAATTTATGACTCAGAATTTTCTGTGAAATAATTAAATAATATTTGTACTCAGTGGTAAAAAATAAATTTACTTTTGCCTTATAGGCAACAAAGTCATCAAAACAAGCGGCGCGAAAGGCAAAGCCGATGGATAATTACTGTTGCTAACTAACCAAGCAGTTTTTTTTACCACTTACCCCATTGGTGCTGTTATCATCAACGCGACAGGAGAAAGCACACAGCTGAGAGTAGATAAGCCCTCTCCAACTTCTGTCACGCTTACACTTTGTCAAACGATCACATTGAATGGAGTCCAAAAGTTTGACTTTTCCCAGCTTCATCATGGGGTCGCTAGCATTACTCTCTGGTGAGAAAATAAAAATTGATTGTCACCATAGCAGTTTGGCCTGGAAGCCGGTGATTGATGGAGGACTCCGTGGCGCAGTTGGCTTCGGCGTCGGGGGTCGTCGGTTCGATTCCCACACGGGACAACTATTTGTGTGACCCACAGATAGTTGTTCCTCATCTGGGTGTTTGTACACGTCAAATTTATGTATGTAAAGTGTCCTTACAACACAGGTTAATGTTATTCTAAAGTAAGGGAAATGTTTTTGTAAATAACAATAATGAAATTGATCAGGACCTGAAGTAGTAGGATCGAAATCCAATGCTTCTTTGTCAAATGATGGTAAAAGTAAATGCGCCTCTGAGTTTCTTTCACGGGTTCGTCTCAGGTCAGTGGCCTTTTTTACTAAGCCGCTAGTAGGTGGTATATTTTCATTTATTCATATACTTTTATATACATAAAATTCTATAAATATGTAAAGATATTCGAATTGAATAGAATCCAATTGCGTGAATTAAAAGTTATCCGGGTTTTAGATTTCATACGTAATTCAAAATCACGTTTAATTGTGAAGCATTGATAATCACGTAGCAAAAACATTTATATGCAAGCTTTAAAATTATACATATTTTATTTTTATATCAGAAGATGGAAGCAAGCTGGCGATTCACCTAATGTTAAGTGATAACCGCCGCCCATGGATATTTGAAACACCCGTATGGTTTGCAGATGCAGTGCCAGCGCTACTCATGTAGAATCTACCGAAAAATAGTTTTCCATTTGAACGTGTGAACGATGCGTTTACCACCTCTTGCTTCCTCACGCTTTGCCAAGCGGAGCAATTTTATTTAGAAAAAGATTATTCTAAATATATAAACTGACGCGGGCGCAGTTATTAACCTATTGGCATCTGAGGTCGTGGTCTCGATCAACACACAGGACCAGTATTTGTATGACCCGCAGAAAATTGTTCCAGATCTGGCAGTTGGTACCCAAGGAGGGTTGACGAGGCACGGCAGCTCGTAAAGAAAAACCTACCCAAACCCACTCATAACACGATTCATATGTTGATCTAATCACAACCAGGGGACAAAGGTAGGAGAATGACTTTTTAGAATGTTACAACTTACTTTTCTTTTCTTGTGGCGTTATCTTCTGAGCCAAACTGAGTCTCGTGAACACGTCGAGGCTGCTACCGACGAACTCTTTCGCTTTAACTGTCTTTTCTAAACAATGAAGACGACACTACGTTAAAAGTATGCCAGAGTTGCGTCTGAGTTGAAATTGAGTTGAAATCCCTGAATCGGCACTAACAAAATTGAAAATGTTTTCACCATTATGATGCCGAATGCGAGCTACTCAGCAAAGGAACGAATCCTGAGTGAATAAAATGTCTTCCACCTATTTTAGAAAATGTAAGTACTTTTGCGAAATAGATATTCGTTGAGCTTTTCATGTTCTGAAGATATCGGGCGCTTACCCGAGTTGAGTAAATCGTCTATGTTAAGTTATAGCGGGTATGGTATCCAGAAGACACGGTTTCTAATCTTAGTAACACATCAATATTTCGATAAAACTGTTAAATTCCTATTCAGATAATTTTCTTATTATCACGAATATAACAATTTTTTTTAAACTGTATTGAAAGATTTCATCACGGCTTATTTTAATTTAGCCAATTTTATTAAGAACAATTCACAGTTCACAGTATATTGTAATGATAAAAATGCCGGTAACTACAATGCTAATGGTAACAATAAGAAAACTTTCTTCTTCTTCAATATCTCTTCCTATATAATCGATAAATAATTAGCAATTACAAGGGACAACTCTATTTATTTTTGTTTTACGCATAAGAGTGCGTAAAACAAAAATAAATAGAGTAGACATAAAGTAACTTTACTTGATTCTACGACGTTCCAGCCAGCTAACACAACATCTTTGTCAGTCAAATTGTAATGATCAGTCCAAATGCAAGCAGGATGAACTTGCGTAGAAAACACAAGTTCTCTGTCCAGCTCTATTATTGCTATGTCATAATAATTGCTTTCAGATTGATAATATGGATGTACGATAATTCGCTGTATGAAGACATCAGTAGGTGACTTGCCAATTTCTTCCTGGAAATTAAATCATATATTCTGATGACTTATAATTATAACACGTGACACGAAGATGTGATCTTATATAAAGTAATCAAATGTTCCACAGTCTCACCTTATCAGAAATATCTGTTACGCCGAATCGTACCACTTTTGGTGTCACATCTTGAACTCTCGGATCATGCGTTAGTAACCGGGTACACTGTGCTGTGGTCAACATGTACTTTTCGCTGATTAGTGCCCCCTCACACATAAACAGCCAAGTGTCATTCAGCGTCTGCCAACCAATGGCACCCTGAAAAGCATTTTTAGCAAGTTTATTTAGTTTTAAAAAGCATTTTTAGGAAATTCATTTAGTTTAATTGTACTAGGGCCACGAGTCTTCACTGTTCCACGAGCACGTCCATCTGGGTAAGTAACACGACCGCACAGGAAACCGGCGTGAAGTGGAAGTGTTATAATTCTACGTTTCCAATTATTTTTTTTATGAGAAAAGTTGCCAAACGAGCAGACGGGTCACCTGATGTTAAATGAACACCGCCGCCCATGGATGTTTGCTACACCCGAGGGTTACAGATGCGTTGACAACCTTCTGAAAATTGGGCTCCGGCTACCTCACTCACCAGACGAAACGCGAAAGTATTTGTCATACTTCCACTTTACGCTGGTCTTCTGTGAGGTCGTGTTACTTACCCGGACGGGTCTGCCCATTCGTGCAACAGCCGAAGCTGTTGCGTGGCCCTACCACCGTATTTAAAATAAACACGTAGTTATGTAACCATTTAAAAGCATAGTATGTAAATGTAAGCTTCAAAAATTTTTTCACAAATTAACTGACTCAACCACTCGCAGAAGCCGCAGAACAACAGAAGCCATTACGTGGCACTAACGCAGTGAAAACGTTTCATTACATAAAATAGATGATGTTCTTGATTTTTACGTAGAACTCCACGGGGGTAGAGTAAAAGGGAGCGAGGTATACACTCAAAGCAAAGCAAAGGAATAAAACAATTTAGCGATTTGTTCCGCTCAGACGTGTAATAATAGCTAGAATACCTTGCGTTCAGCCCTAGTCTCAGGCTATAATAGGACTAAGGTATCCCTTGCCTGTCGCAAAGGGCGACTAAAAGCAAGCAGTCGAGCTGTTGCAAGATCGTCAGGGAATCGGGGACGGTTTAGCCTCCATACAGAAGGTGATCCACCTAGGGAGTTTTAGTGGGTACGAACCCCTATAACCCCGTCATGTAAGGTAACAGGGTATCATATGAAGATCCCCCCCCCCCCCCCCCCCGTAATGAATTGTTTACGAAGTTTCACTTCGAAAACTTTATTCTCACCGTTTCTTCTAAAATTATGATTCAACGACTCTGGATAAAAGAACGCTATGTCGGTAGTAAAATTAAATTTAATAAAAAAAACTAAAGTACCATATGAGCATATTCACCGGCCACAGCATCAAAACCACCGAAATTCAAATTAATCAGGCTTACATCCATAGACAGTTTGTCGCCTTAAAACAGAAAATGATCAAATTATCGTAACATGCGAATACTGGTGTGAGTTTTACCAGTTTCTTGATGAAATGTCTCAAGCGGAATTCAAAAAACTTAAAATTTGTTCAAACACTCTGAGAACTTACAGATATTCCTTTTTGCTACAATTATTAATAAAAGAGAAGAAAGAAATATAGTATTCAATTGTCATTATCTTTATTTTTACATTACATTTTTCGAGTCTTGAAATGTTGTCTTTATATGTTGAATAATGAATGAGATTGGAAATTCAAAATAAAAATGTAACGCCGTAAAATCTATAACACTACATTTTACACATTTAAAAATTCAAATGTATAAAACATTTGCGTTTTTAAGGTAAATGCATACCAGAGTGCATTCCTTTAAATTTTAGCAAAGCAAATTCTAGCAACCCCACAGTTGTTCTAAGTGTCCATATAAGAAGATGATCACTTAACATAAAGTGGGCTACCTATTCATATTAATAAATGTAACATTATTAATAAATCTAATTGTTCTGTATCTTAGCCTGATTGATTTTATCTTTTACTCTGACTGACACAAACAAAAACTTGACCTATCATTTATAAAGAGACAAATAGGAAAAATAAAAGTTAATCTTAGTTTAATATTGAGTAAAATGAAATTTAAACAGTTTTCCATCCGCGCTTGGAACATAATAGTGTTAAAAATTTGATGATCGTGTACCACAAAATCTATTCTTATATATAAAAATGGATTGCTGTTCGTTACTCTCGCTAAAACTCGAGAATTGCCCGACCGATTTGGCTAATTCTTGTTTTGATATAACGATGAGAAATTATGGAAAAATCGAAATAGCAACAATTTTATTTTCCCATACAAACTGTACCTGTCAACCTTTCAAATGATTTTTGAACGCGTTCCAATCCCTCTAGAAATAATTTATATGGCCAAACAACGTTTGCCGTCAACTAGTTAGCAATAAAAAATATTCAAAACTTACACAATGTTAATCCTATTAAGGCTTCATCATAATAACGCATTTTCCACAGATGTTCTAAGCATTCTGAAAAGAAGTAAAATAGTACATGTATAAGTAAAAATGATGTTATATACAAATACGAGAGTACATCACATATGACACTAGCGCACCGAAACTGATAGTACGTGATAGTACACAAATTACGCCAATTGCTGTAATTAGATTGCAGCTCTATAGATTGCTTTCTCCTTCCGTGTCATAAGTCATATTAACTTATACAATATGTTATAAAATGTAAAGCGAAATAACTTAGCACCGCTCTGCACGGACATTGACATGCGTCATCTTTGTTAGAAGATCATTGGTTACTGGTACTCTTATAAATGTAATGCTATCACGAATACATCCGAAAGCATTTATATTATTTGGAAAATTTTGAAAAGTAATTTAGTTCAGTGTGTAATATTACATGTATAGCTTATGTTGTATGTATAGCTCTGTGTTTTAGCCATTAGATCCCGGATCATCGAATCAGTGACGTTAACAGAGCTTTCAGATCGGGTATGTACACTACTAATAAAACTTACCAATTTCTCTAAGTGATCGATGATAACATAAATGATAGCTTAAATGATATCCAACGTAGCCTTTTAAGAGGCTATGAGATGATTAATTTGTTTTCTTTAACTCAAAATGTCCACATGCGAGTCGGACTAGCGAGCAGAGTTCCGTACCATCGTCTATATAAAGGGCAATAAAAATCATATCTGTTGTATTCAAGCTCTATTTGACTATTCTTTTTATTCTGTTTTTAGTATTTGGTGTTATAGCGGCAACAGAAATACCTACATCATATGTGAAAATTTCAACTGTCTTTCTATCACGGTGGATGAGATACAGCCTGGTGAGAGATGAACAGAAAAACGGACAGACAGCGGGAGACTTAGTAAAAGGGTCCCGTTTCACCCTTTGGGTACGGAACTCTAAAATGATAACTTTACCTTATGTAACCCATGGGTTTCAAGCAATGGGACAGCAGGGTATACAAAGCTTTTTTGCATTTTTGCAAGCTTTATGTACGGAGTGCCCGCGCACGTTCAAGCTATAAAGTTCATGTCTTGGCAACTACATTAAAGTACTCACTGACTTCACTAATTCTGGCTGTTCCAAAGTCCGGAATAAGCAGCGGCTTACTATCGCAAGGTTGAAAAGTAATGTTCGCATTTTCCGGTCTCGAATGGATTACTTTAAACAGGGCTTGAGACTTTTCGTCGAACAACGACTTCTGTGGACAAATTGCAGAATGTGTTTATAATCAAAAATTTATTATCTACCGGGATTTGATCTTGTGCTTTATTTTTTTTTTAATGTGATTTGTGACGGTGGTATTAAAGGGATACCGCCGCCCATGGACGTGAGTCCGGAGAAGTACCACGACCTCATAGAAGAACGGCGTGAAGTGGAAGGATACTTCTGCGTTTCGTTTGGTGAGTAAGGTAACGCGAGCCCACATTATTTTAATGCATTTCTACAACACTACGCCTGTTGTAAATGTCCATGGGCGGCGGTTATTTTTCACATCTGGTGAACCGCCAACTCGCTTGCAATTTTATTATATGAAATAAATAGAAAAAGTCAACATTCTGCTCTGTACCTATATTACATCTAATTTCATGCTTAATGAAATTCAGTGAAATGGCATAGTATTAATATTGGCAGCACACCAAGAACCTCAACAAACTCTGGACAAAGTATCCCTCTGTAGAGAAAGTGTGTAAATAGGTATTTGTATGGGTATTTATATGTACGATGACGAAAAGAGATGGACGCGAATATATTATAATAAGTAAATGAATAGGTAATTGGAGGACGATAAAAGAAAACCTTATTTGGCCTCCATATTTCTTTTATGTGAAATCTTGTCAAGCAAGCAGGCGGTCCACCTCGTACGTCCACGCCTATACATCTACAGCACGTGAGGGGCTTGTAGATGCGTTGACAACCGTTACAAACGTGAGCCCCGGTTACCTCACTTACCAGACGAAACGCCAAATTGTAATAACTTCCATTTGGCGCCAGTTTTCTGTGAGGCCGTGGTACTTCCCCGGACGAGCCTGTCCATTATCACAACGACAAAAGCTGTCGCGCTACCCCACCAAACTCCATTCTACTCACTTTATCATTTTGCATCTCTATGTAAGATTGTCTGATACGAGAGTGCTGATTCGGCGTTAACCGACTCTCAAGGTCACTCAAAGCCGGCGCTGGAAAAGAATGTCCCATGTTTATACTTTAAAAGAAATAAATAGTGGTCCGCTTGTAAATGACTGGACCGGTATAAAAAACTATTCCTAAAAATTTGAATAAAGATTTTATTACGTACTTTATTTCCGAAAATTCTTAAATTACTTTTATTAAAATCCATAATTTTGGGTCTAGCAGTAAAATTATTATTACTACCACTTTATGTTTAAAGAAAAGAATGCAATTTTTTAAGTATTATTATTACTTTTTTTTAATATTATTATTATTTTAACGTATTATTACTATTAATTATACAGTCAAATTTTCTACACTACATTACGGAAAAGTTAAGGTAGCTATGATAAGTACCCATGACGAATCTTATATCTAAGTGAATATTTCTTTCTGTATAAGTTCATACAAACATAATATAGCAGCATAAGCTACTCTTTTTTTATATTTTAGTTAATTTATGATACGTAATTTATTATATTTAATAATTTATAACGTATTACAATAATAGTTTTTACTAAAATATTATTTTTCGTAGTTAATTTATTCCGTATAATAACTATTCTGGTGTCTTTTCATTATTTTTACACCTACTTACTATCTCTGCGTCACCTAATAGGTTGACTGCTAGATAATGCCTCAGGCACTAGGTCCGCCTATAAATAAGATTTATGTTAAATATAAATAACTAAAAAATATTTTCATTTAATTTCAAACACTTGTAAACGTGCGGGTTCTACCATTGATCCAAGAATTTAGACTGTGCCGAGAACTGACAAGAACTTATTGTCTTATGGCTTCTATTTTTTGAACATGGAACAATAAGACAAAACTTAATTATTTTTGACCTTAATATTTATTGAATTAGTATAAGACATTTGGAGGTGACCAAAGGATGTACACTCTTGCAACGTAGAGCAATCGTGACTGAACATAGCAACCACGATGTGAACAATGTAACAGGTTTGGTTTTTTTGTATAACTAGAATAAGGCAAGACTAAACTTTATTTACCTTATTGTAAATGTGCTCAAATGCTCCTGTCTATTCCCAATTTGTTTTAATCATTTAACCAATAAGTATGTATTTTACGGCACACTTGTTACTTATATATGTTATCTATGATATTTGAAAGACTAATAAGAAAATTAAAAAATTTAAACATGTTTTTTCACATATCAAACTTTGCACACTTATTTTTTCGAATTACCTAAAGTGACTTATTCCTTGTCACTGATGTAATAACCGTAACAATTCACTACATATAAATCGAAGCGAGTTTATAGTTTCAATCCCAAAAGCACTTAAGATAATACATACCAATAACAGTCACTAATAGAATAACGCAGCATTTTGAACGTATGAAAATCATTTTTACTTATTTATAACGCGTTACGCGTGCACTAAATCTCACATCACTATACTGAATGTAAACAATGCGTTCATATACCTATTTTGTTCTCGCAGGGGAAAACCGGTTCACTGCGAAATGTCAGCATGGCAGTTTAATATAAGAAATAGAAGTCTAATCATCGTCTGCAAATATAATAAGTGTTTTTAATCATTTCTTATGGTTTTCATTTGCTAAAACGGCTATCCTAAAGAAATTTAGATTGTATATAGCTTATATGCCGAATTGAAGTTACAATAGACTGTCAAAAGTAAAATTCAAAATAACTAATCTTAATAATCAAATAACGAAATAGCTAGCACTATATTTAATGTCAAAAATGCGTTCATATATTTTGTTCTCGCATTTCTCTCTTGTCTCTTTCAACAGGTATAATATGTATAATATGTGTGTAATATTCCTTGCCGATTACCTACTGTAGTTTAACGTCATTGGTAATTCCATATAGGGTACCGACACTTAGGCTTAGGCTTTGGCTCGACTTAGAAGGAATAAAACAGATATATAGACAACATTTGAAGCTACACTAATCAACAAGTATAAACTCAGAAACTGTAACTAATTTTTTTGTATAATTCCTTTAGCAAGTCCATTTTTTATTAACAAAAACTATCGACTTCAAATATCTCGCACTGTATTCATTTTATAATTGATCTTCAGAAGTTTCCTAAGTATCTCCGGAGCCCAAGATCTACTATTAATTAAATTAATATGGGGCAGTATATTACCAGCTTTCAAATAAAAAAAGAAAAATCAAAATCGATTCACTCATTCTTATATGCACCAGCTTTCAAATAAAAAAAGAAAAATCAAAATCGATTCACTCATTCGAAAGTTCTGAGGTAACAAACTTACAAAATACAGTCGAATTGGGAACCTCCTCCTTTTTTGAAGTCGGTTGAAAAATATTTGGCGTCGCAATCGTGCTTGGCGATTACATTGAGCACGCCTCAATGTAATCGCCTTACATTGAGTCACCTACGTTGGCCGGAATATCAGTGGGCTCGTGTCCTATTATCTGAAAAAGGAGGTTTCGATTCAGATTTGGAAGATCCAGGTTTGGTTTCACTCTGTTACAAGAAGAGCACGTGTGTGATGTACTTCTGAACGTCATTAACGGCTGCGTTTTCCACAGGAAGTCCATCTCTATCCTAACTATCATAACCTGTTTGGTCCAGAATTCATTTAGACGAGACTGGCCACGTTTTGGTACGGTGTCACATGGCCGGCAAATACCGCAGTGAGGTGCTAGAACCTATAGTTAAAATGGATCCTTTTGATAAAATCTTTACCCATTTGGATCGAAAGGAATTCAAAGGTTTCATCTTGATGCATGACAATACTGCATGCCCGGTGATGAATGTTTTTCGGAAACACAAGATCACAGTCAATATTGGACTGAATTCCGCATTCTTGTTACATAAATCCTACTGAACACGCCTGAACAAAAAAATTTAACACTGGGAATGATCTCTTTCATCATCTTTTACGGACATGGAGGAATTCAACAAGCCACAGTTTATAATTCTATATTCAGCATGCTAAGGCAGTGCAGAGCGTTAGTTAATAATACTTTAGAAGATCCAACTGAATATTTTTTTCTATAATTTCATAGTCTGAATTTGGTTTAAGAAGGGCTTTAAATCCTCTATCTATTAAATAATAAATGTCTGTCTATTACGTAATTGATGCGCCAGCTATAATCTTTCAAGGTAAGAAAAGAAAATATTAGATAAAATGTTGCCAGTAGAAAATATTTAATAAACGCCACAGCCCTGTCAAAGTCGATTTATCATATGTGTAAGATAAACTTGTTTTGTATATTATTGTTTTATTATGTCATAACTGCGGTAAAACCCAATACGTACGTTGTTTCTTCATTCTTCGCGCGATTATTTTAAGCTTTTTCCTTGATACATCACGGTATTTTAAGTCATCAGTTATTAAATGGTCTGAATAACGCCTATAGAAATACCGAAATTGATATTGAAGATTGCAAAATTTGAATGAATTTTAAAGTTTTTTTATAGTGCTAATCTCTGCACTTAAGATTGAACATTAAAACATGTAGAAAAAGCACGGAAAGATTGTCGCCGCTGTGGGAATTGAACCCACGTCTTCGGCATTCGCGGCCTGACGCTCTAAAGCAGCTAAACGGCCACGTCTGAGTGGACAATCGGCCACATGATGTAATAACAGACATAAATCTCTTATTAAATATTGCTATTAAAATTACTATCAATTTTTTTTAAACTTTATATCCTAGGCTTAACGCTGCGGCTGGTGACAAGAGAGCTGGTTCTTTTTTTCGCTCAAAGGATAAGCATAACTATTCAGCGAGGAAATGCAGCTAGCGTTCTTGGCACCATGCCTCGTGGATTAGATTTATTAGATATGTTATTTTAGATAGATTTAATCTTGTAAATAGATAAATAATTGCTGCCAATTGAAACTGTTTTTAAAATTTAGTAACAGGAAATAATTATTTTCGACATATTACTGGATAAATACAAAAGGACTAATCTCTTTTAAAATAACTTTTAACATTCAAATCTACTGTATGCATTTACCATTTTAACCATTTTAATTCAATTCATGTATGTATTAACGTGAACGAGAGAAGCTTTTGTACACATGTGGGAATCGTACCCACAAAAAGGGACGGAATTGGCTTGCGAGGTGACCACCAAACCATTGTGCCATCCCTATAGTCATACAATTCCTACCATTCTTTTTCCAGCCGTAAAAAAAACCACGATGAACGGTTTCTGGCTTGTTTGTACGTCATCATGATCTCGAGGAAAACCGCGAGTGGAACTCAATTATAGCTTTGAGGATATTTTGGCACACATATATTTATTGCACGATGCATTATTGTAAATGAATTGTGGAAACAGCGGAAAGTTGCTTAGTCTATTTTCATTTATTATTCTTAATCAAAAGTTTTGATGGAACATTGACTAGAAATATAAGTAACATTGTATGAGCAGCCTAAGTGTTTGGGGCCTCTGATTTCAAATCCCGGTACTGACGAAACTGATGTTATATTGTATACTACATAACATCAGTTTCTGCTTGGCACTTGGTTTTTGCTCTAGTTATGCTTATGCAGTAGATTATGAACGTTGTTAATGTACTGAATTGAGCACGAAAATACCTGGTATCGTCTAAAGAACCAAGGAGTCGAACAAGAGTACATCAGAATGATAAAAACGTATATGCTAACGTTACAGCTAAAATCAAGTGAGAAAAAGAAGGGAAGGAAATAAAATTTTCTATTTATTTTTTTCAATCAGATGCGACAGCGTCAACTACTTCAAATGTCATAACATTAATTCATTTAAAATATTTTGACTCATTATTTAAGAAAAAAATACTCACATAAACTTAAAACAGTAATTTACATGCAAATGTAAACATCAAAATTCACATCTAAACCCTCAGCTTAGTTCGGAGTAAAAGAGTTAATTATTCTAACTAAGTTGTTTAATTTCGAACTAAGCTAATTTATTCTTTAAACAGAAGCAGTGAGAGCCCTTTACATGGGATTTAATTTGAGTAATTTATTCTTATACAAGCCATTGACGAGTTGTGCTGAGGGATGGCACGGAATGTTATTATTGACCGTTAAAGTTAAGGTTCAAATATCCCGTCAGATTATAAGGACCATCTCTTGATACTTTTGAAGTTATACTCTTTTGGCGCGTTTGGAAAAATTATGAGAGTAAAACTTTTACATTGCATTCAATGTCTTTACGCTAAAGAAGTATAACTTGGTACGTGCCTACATAAGTAGATACAAACATACTTATTTTATTTATGGTTTTATATCAATTGAGCTAGCGCCTCTTTGAATGAATGAATGAATGAATGCCCGCCCTCGCGGAGGCAAGAGCGAACTATCTCGGACTCGCACCGACTAAAACCCCCACGATATTCCACCTAGACGCATGTCTCGAGCATGTCTGGTCAGCGAACTCCCCCGAGTTTATTGACCAGAGGCCCTGGGAGCCAGTGTCAATATGCAGCAAGCCTCCCACCCCATAGCGGTGGAACTGGTTTGTGGCCCCGCCGCTCTCCTCGTTCCGGCCGCGGAAGGTAGGAAGAACGGCGCACCGCAATACCGACACTCCTCTCCCCCCGCGGCCCCACCACCACTGCATTAACGGTGCAGCCTCGCCGAGATGCGGTGGATAGGGAGCGCGGCCAACGCAATACCGACACTCCTCTTCCCCCCCGACTCCTCCTCGGTCCTCGGCAGCAGTAGACAGGGGTAGTGGCTCCACCTCTACCACTCACGAGGTGGGCACGCATCCAGAGTGGGCTCAATGAGCCCACTCGGAGCGGCCATCTCGGGCCGGCCTTACACCACAGGCGGACCCAGGGTGGGTTCCTCTTAGCTTCACCGTGGGTGACCAAGCCACGGCTACTGAGCCCCTCCGCCACGTCAAGGCGGGGCTCCGGTCGGTGGCGTCCTTACGATACCTATACGAACCTCGCATTCACCCCAATGACATTATATAAAAAATATGAAACTAGCGCACCGAAATTAAGGCACTCAAATGACACCAATTGGTATAAATAGATTGCAATTCTATAGACTGCTATTGTAAAGTTTCCAAAAACGTTATAAACAAACGTAAAGGTTTTAGTATCATTCTAATCACTAATATATAAACAATATCACATAATGTTACCACAAAAAAATTAAAATGATCTTTCTCAGAACCTATTACAAAGTATTGATACTTCTTAAAGGTATCTCCATTAAAAACAGTATCTTTCTACATTTTATAAAGTCCATAAAAAAGTTTATTTTAACGATTATACGTTATAAAACTAAAACGCGCGATTTATTAGTAAAATGGAATGGTGAATAAACATTACAGATTACAAGGCATTTTCATGATGATGTAACACCCTCTTATAAGCAGTTTACAACATCGCACAAATGTAGAGAA